TTCATTAGCTAAGTCTATAACAATGTAATGGTGTTATGGCAAGACGGCATTGAAGCTGAAAGCAGAATCTTACCGTTAACGTGAATAGATAAAGACTGAATGCTTTCTCCATTTTATGGGTCTGGAAGATTTATTATTTTGAACTGGTAGTGAGAACTGTAGGAAGTATCTGGACTCACGAATTTTCGTTGTTCTACTATTGGACTGAAGGGAAACAGCGGACATTCTAAATATAAACTTGAAAGATGTAGAGAAAGGGTAAGAGACACCATATAAGAAGCATTTTATGTTTTTTTTATCATTATTGCAAATTAAAATAAAAGCTAAGTTATTGGCTGGTGGAGGGAATATAGAAAACGAACTTAGAAGCTATAATCATTGCGTTAGGTACATTGGGCATATTCTTGAAATACAATTTATGTGCATCTAGAGAGTAGTGAATATTTATAGATAATTGATCAATGCTTTCTACGTTTCCCTTTTCTTTCATATGCAATAGCAATTTGTCTATTCTGTTCGACTTTTGTTATATTTTAAATTACACAAATGACAGAGAGGTTTTAGTAAATATTTTATGTTCTGTGTTTAATAATATAGATTCAATCTCTATGGGGTAAGGTTGTACTTCGCTGGATTGTATGACCATTTCGATTATCTCAGTCCTCAGACTGAAACACAAGTCTAAATTCTGGATATCAAAACATTAATTACTGGTAGCTTAAGACATGGAATCAGTGAATCGTTAGGTATATTTTTTGTCCTGTGATCTGCGTGGTCGCACTTAGACCTGAGAGCAAAAGGGTTAATCATTGATCGCAGTGTGAATAAGGCTTAAGTGTATTGGGGATTTCCTTAATTTTAGATGGTACGGTTTTGTAAGGAAATTTGGTGATCTCTCATTTCTATGATTCATATATAAGATTTTTGGAATCTTACAGAATGATTTGAATATAGAGTATTTTGTGTCAAGCCCTCAGTGAATTAATGTTGGGGGGAAAAATAGAAAAAAAAAAAACCAAAACAAAAAAAAAAAGAAAAATTAAGACAAACAGATAAATATTATTTATGTCTCTTTTTTTACCTAAATCTAGAAAGAATCATTTGATTTGGAAAATTAGTTTCTGAATTAAAATATATCAAAAGAATTAAATTTTAAATTAAAAATTGACAAATATTTAAAAAGAATTTAAATAAAACAGAAAATTTTCTGGTAACTAAATGACTTTTACTTCAATCCGATTCAGTTTTCCTATATAATAACATTTGACTTTCCTGTGGTGATTTCATGGTTTGTTAAATATAGTAGTGTTGCTTGTATTATTAATTATTGTTCCTTGATTGGCAGTAGAATTGACACTGAAAATTGGGTAAATCTCTTTCCCTGCTCTAGTTCACAATATTTGCTACTGCCAACTGACGCAAGGGGCTATCTGTATTTCGACCTTAATTATTGTTGTTTAATCAGAGGAGTGTGTCTACCTTTGGCTACATTTTCATTTGATTGTAAGTTAATCCACTGTGGGTGCATGACATTGACCCTTTTCGATAGTGGTATTTTGGCCCTAGTCTTTGATTCAAGACTTGCTTTGTTACAATTGCTAATTTTGGTTAATTCAAACACTAATTGTTAAATGTAAAATATAAAAATATGACCACATGGTATGATTTTGTTAGGTAGATTGTGTATGTGCCAGTGTAGCATCGCCTGCCTAATGTTTAAAAGTTTAAACTATATTTTGTGCTTCTGGGGACTCCCATTTTGTCTCATTTTTCCTCTTTTTGGGTTAGCTGAGTTAAAAAGGTTTCCATTGTAATTTTTTTGATTAGATAAAAGTAAGCAATGCTGCTAAAGGGGCAACCTAGGGTCTCTCACTTTTTGAGCTTGTGCAGCTGTGCTATTTTACCTCCACTCATTCCAAAGCTGTTTCAAGCTCGCATTTTAGGAGCAGCAGAGTGTTCCATCTTTTACTTTCGTTTCCATTTTGCTTTGAATTGAGAGTTTTATTCCTTCCTGAAAGTAGCTTTATGGGAAAGTTTGAATGGAAAACAAAAAGATAATAAGATTTGTTTCTGCAAAGGTAGATCTCTTGGTATTAAAAATTTAGCTTAACATCTTTAGTACTATAAGCCGTTCAAAACTAAACTCATGATATTGTATGGCTTCCTCCTGCATTGCATTTGGGAACCAAAATGACATTACTGGCATATATTTGCAACACCAAGCAAAAATAAATCTCGCCTGTTGGAGCCGATTTTATTAGTGCGAGTGAAAATGGTTTAAAGAGCTTCTTGTCTGTTGCGCTTGATCTCTATGGTTGCATTTGAAGCTTTTAAAATCAAATATGCAGCCTATGCTTTTTCCAAAGAGTTTTTCATTTCCCCAACTATGATTTATATCATCCACCTTTTTTTTAAATTTACGTGTGTACAACTCCTTTCTCCTCTTGGTGGTGGCTCGCCTCCCAGGCATCCACTTTTTCTCAAATCTTTACTTCATTTTCATCATCATTGGCCGGACTGTGCTCGCACATCTTGTTCTGTAGTTTGGTTAGTTTTGCAGTAGTTTGCATGTAGGGTAAGGAGTCACAGGGGCAATGTTGCAGTAATTTTTCCTGGGAATGTAAAGACTCGATCGTGAATCAAACAAAATTTAGGAGTTTTCTAATTTTAACATTATGCTGTGAGGATTCTGGCTGTAGAATATCTTTTTCTTTTTTTGGCCATTTTCAATAGAATCTTTATTTTATTGTTTTATGGTTGGTCAATTTGTCACACCCACTGTCCAGTCCCTTGAGAGACCCGACAAAACGGATCGCCACATTTTGGTGCCAGGAGAGACCCGTCTTAACTTAAAACATAAATCATAAAATTAGATTATGAATTAAGAAGTAATTGAGTATCTAATTATTGTTTATGGTGGGTCGATTCTGTACCCCCCGCCGTCCAGTCTCCTCGAGAGCCCGACAAACGGATTGCACATTCGGTGCGGGGAGAGACCGTTTAACTTACATATAAATATAAAATTAAGATTAATGAATTAGAATAATTGAGTATTCACAAGTTTAGCGAAATAAATAATGTGGTTTTTTTATTAATTCTTTCATTTCGTTTTTCAATTTTCTTTTTATATACGATTTGGGAAAAATTCTACGAAATACTGTAAAGAATCTTCCTTTAAAAACTGAGGCCCGCCAAACATGGAACTACAAACATTCTCATTAATTCGAAACCCCTCGATACGCATTTTAATATTCATCAATTAATTGCGTTTATTTATTTATATATCAAGTCTAATAACTAATCAACATACCCCTATCTTAAATATTCTATATTTAAAATCATCTTATAAATTTTATGCTTATCTTCAAATATATACTACACCAACATATTGATAATTACATGCTTTTAAGTTTATAGATTCAAATAACAAAATCGTCGACCATGGTCCCAGAGTCAGTTTTGGGGTTTTCAGCCATAATTGAGCTATATATATCCAAATTGGACATAAGAGGATGGGTTGGAAAGCTACAGAAGTAGACTACAACTTTCATATATATCCAAATTGGACATAAGAGGATGGGTTGGAAAGCTAAGAAGTAGACCTACAACTTTCATGAAGGACTCAGACACAAATGGAGAATAGAAAGAATCGAAAAATTGTCCTTAATCTCACCCAATAACACATTTTTTCTAAATTCAGCTTATTTTTACCATAAAAAGAACACGAAAGACAAAGATACAAGATAGAGATTTCTACCATATACTAAATACTCATCAAACATCAGCCAAGAGCACGTTGAGATATCTTATTTTGACTGATAATCAATCAGTAAAAGAAAAAACAGAAAATCTTGGCCCAAAAAGCTTGTGTATTTTATCTCCTATGCCGCCATATCATCCATGGTTGACAACTTGACATATGGGCTTTTTTAAAACGTGATCCACCCCATTTATTGAAATTAACATTTTAAGGCGTGAAAGAAACTACTAATGAGAAATTCCCAAACCAGGGTCCCATTTTAGTTTCTAGAAGGGCAGAAGTTTGAATTACAGTAACACAGACCAGCAAAGATTCTCTCACACACTTGCCTTCTTCATGCAATAAAAAAAAAAGGTTTAATCATGCAAGGGCCTTTGAGATTTCTTAAAATGCAATTTGATCTGTCCTTGATATTTGAAAGTCAGCAAATTGAGCCCTACATGTCTTAATTTAAAATTTAGATTTAAAGTCATTAGCATACTTGATTTACTAATATGTATATTTTCAGAGGACTTAAGCGGTTTTCTGACCAAAATTAACTTAGGACCATATGCATAAAACTACTGAAGCGGCAACTGGTTCCTTTAAATTTCTGTGCTATATAAGAAAAAGAAATTACAGCTACATGTACCAAACTTTCTATGTCTGCCATGACCTATGGAACAAAAAGGAAAATAAGAAACTAGACCAAAACTAAAAACAAATAAAACCTAATTTTCTTTTTTCTTCAGCAATTAATCTCATGAATCATATTACATTCATAATTTCCATCTTTATTCAGTTCTAAATTTCCCCCCTCGCTGAAGCCAATGGGCTCGCATACTCTTTAAAATTTTCTTTGAAATCGGAACAGTTATCAGCTTCACTTGATTTATGAACTTTATACCAAATGAGCAACTCCGGCAATTAGGATGTTTCATCTCCACGGATGTTGTGGATTTTTGTAAGGTAACGAGTAAGGTTCCCAACCACTATCTGGTTCCCTTCTTTTCCCGCCTACTCCAGAGCTCGAAGAGGATTGCATGTTTGCCCTTAAATGCTCCTCCATTGACCTGCTTTGGCTAGGCATGAAAAGCTGCCTTAAACCCCCACCACCTCCTTCAAATGCAAAACCAGAATTTAAATCTAAGCTAGGCCGTGAGGGCCCTGCTCCATTTAAATTCACCGGTGCACCACTCATACTCATTATGAATGAGGGCTGGGAGTAAGCAGGAACAGCTGATGCAGAACTTAGAAGTTGAGGCACAACATGTGCTCTTGTATCCATGTAAGGGATTGAAGCACCAGGTCCATATACAGCCGAGGAGATGGACATAGTTGGCACTGTTGTCAATCCATTGTACCCAAAAACAGGAGAATGTGCGTATGATACAGTTGGAACTCCGAGAACACCTCCTATTCTTGCCAAATTAGCATCCATTGCAGGATCCAGAGGCTTGCCATTTGGCATGGATGGATTTTGAGGAACAAAATCCTTTCTGCCGACTTCTATTCTACTGCCCACTTCGACTCTTGTACCCATGATAGATATAATAGGATCACCTGATTTAGAACCTCCAGAAGCACTTGCATTTTGGCTGCTCAGATACAGCCCTTGATCTGAAGAATCATTGTGAAAAAAAGGCCTATCATTCAAATCAAAATTTCTAAGTGAAGGCTGCATAGATGATGATGAAGATGCAGGAGATGGGCTGCGATGACCATTCCGGGGGTAAAAAAGCTGCTGTCCCCCCATCCTCAAACTTGATGGTGGAGCATCACCATCATCACTGATACGGTTTAAATCCAGATTGGGTCTCTCTGATCTTCTTGGACCCACTTCTAGCGAAGACTCCGCAGAATGTAGCCCAGAAGAGACCAGAATTGGCCTCCCTGAAATAAAGTCCACCTTCTCATCTCCATCCTCAGCTATATTGAGATCAATGTCAAGGCTGTCCTGCCTTTGTTTTGAAATGCTGCTCGTTCCCCCAGTATCAAGAATCTTGTCACTGTCAGATATCTTGCGTGGGGATGCTGGTCGAAAAGCACTAGTAGCGGCAGACCCTTTCCATCCTAGAATGCCCTCAAACTGCAAAGGTGCTGACGGAGATCCAGATGCTGCTGCAGGCCTTGAAGCTGAAACAACTGAAATTGGAGCAGAGATTGGATTAATTGGACGATCCATATCATCAGAACAGACTTCTTGATTCAGATCAAAGTCACATAAGCTTTTCTCTGCAATAACTTCTGGTCCTGGAGCCACTTCAGTCACCTGTGAAGACTCCAACTCATGTGTACCATTTTCTGCTTCAGTATCCATGTTGTTGGAACTAATTAAGTGCCCCTCTTCTACAGGGTATGCCTCAGCAGACAGGCTCCGTCCAGCTGGAATGTCTTCTTGAGGGACCTCTGTTCTTGATTCCTGCTTTCCATTTATAGAATCTGGACTATCCGGCTCCCTGACATCACTGTCCATAATTTTCTCCGAAGAAGAGCTGCAAGATGGTTCTCTATAATCTACCACCTCTCTCTCCACTTCTTGTGCAACTTGACGAGCAACTTCTAGAGCATCAACTATGCCAAATTCAAGGTCAATATCAGATCTCCTCCTATCAATTGGATCAGGGCTCCGGGCATTTATTGCCGGTTTAGAGAAATCGGAATCATCTCTTAAGTCGTCAGCTCCGTCACTGCTATGCTCTCGATCATCATCAGCAGCTCCAATATGGGCCATCCGTGAAAAAGGAGTCCCTGTATCTTCAGTTTTCTCCAATTTCTGGTCACTGTGAGATGAGTCCTGCTGAGTGTCATGAGAATGATCATCTTTTGATGTCGACTTGAACGCCTGTGTGTTAGAATGATTTATAAACCCCACATCATTGGTCCCAGCTCTTGGTGGAGATGTGGATGTTCGTTTGCTACCAAATGCACTAATCTTAAGGTCAAAATCTCCCTCTTTGGCATCAGCACTGTTTTGCTGTGCAGGTTCTGTCATCTCTTTAGCACTGGCGGCATCAACACTAGAAGAACTAGCTCCAGGTTCAACCTTACTAGAGGGGGAAGCTACCATACTCAAGTTCTCAGAGAAACTGCTCAGCTTCTTTGAAGCATCCAACTCTGGTTCAGCACTTTGTCCCTTGGGAATAGTAAAACTATGAGTCTCAGTCAAAGCAGTTCCTTCACCAATACTCATTGAGGATTTTTCACGCAGTGAAGGACTCTCTTGAACAGAATTTGACAAGACAGACGTGGTGAGCGGATCCAGTGATCTATCCTCCATGCTATGATCAGTTTGAATCTGTACAACTTCAGTCTTTTCGGTTTGAAGGCAATTTGAGTTTGATTGCAAATTTTCATCCTTGGCAGGTTCAGCTGCAATATTTTCTACATCATCATTTCTTTTTGAAAGGGAAACCTCAACAGCAGTACAATCTGCTCTATTATTCTCACTGGTGAGCACATTGGCATCACCCAATGTCCCCATACTCTGAACATCATGATTAATTGTCTCACTAATCCTACCCTGCTTCCAGCTATCAAACAATGCTCTTGCTCTATCCTGAACACGAGTACTACTGTGGTCAAGAAGATCATGGACAGTGATCCAGATTCCAGAAGAAATGGACCTCTCCTTGTCTATTTGCAGCTTTTCCAGTGCTCTTAATAGTGCAGTAATCGACTCTTCTATGAAGCCATCAGCCGTGTCGTTACCAAACTTCTGAACATCCTTTAACCATCTACCAATAAAGCATAGTCCATCTAATTGAATAAAAAGTTCAAGACAATCTTTATTCTCTGTAGCAGCAATCGTGCTAGCAACAGCAGCCCATTGCCTGGTGGCATCACCAACATTCTTCACAATACAATCTTTCTCCTTCTGCATTACAGCAACCAGTTCATGCACTCGGGAAGGGGCTGTAAGCCCATCTTTCATCTCAGTCAAGGTAAAGAAATCTTCAAGTGTCATAGTGCTTCACATTCCACACCTCCAATTACTAAATAAGTCCTTGCAGCATACAGATAATATTACTTCCATTGAGAACAGCTAACTCTGAGTACAGTTTGCTTACAGAATAACCTGCAGTAGAGACATGCATTTCTCAGTAAATAGCTCCATACCTTACAATGTAGCTCACCAATACCAATAATACAGCCAATGTAAGAAACCAGCTATGGACTATATAAAGAAGAATTTAAAAGACAAATTGACCACTCATCACTGAATTATCAAAAAAAAGAGATTGCAAACTGTCACATCTTGCTTTAACTGCATGGTCACCAAGCATAAATTGGCAAGAACAACAGACATATGAGTTAAAGATGTTAAGTAAATAAAGGACAAATGTTATAGTTAAGTTAATCAGGCAAAGTGCATCAAGTCATTCACCAAACTTGATTTCATTTGATGGTATTTCTCTAAATCAAGATGCAGACAAAACAATTGCAATGAAGCTGAAAACCACCGTACAACCCTGTTAAAATGAGCCCAAACAATGAATATCAAAGATTTAGCATAGTTGTTATATTATGAGAATATCACAAAATATTGACCCATACACCAAGTGATTACCAAATGCATTGGCATTATGCAGACCATTTCCAACATTGTTCATTCTGAGGATATATAGCACATGTTGAACAACCTTCAAAACTAAGCAACAGCTTTTTCCTAGGTAAGGTAAACCTCAATGGTAAAAGGAGAATGAAGGCACAGCTTTTACAGCAATGATATTCAATAGCACTTCCAGCAATGAAGGCACAGCTATCATATATTAATAGCCAGCCAAAGAACAAATGATTACTACAAACCTTTCAGCAAATTAAGCACTAAGCTTTATGAATTTTTATTAAACAATCTAGACCCTACTCATTATTCTGACTTAAATAACCATATGAACTAATGAAAGCAATGCTCTTGAATAACAAATAAAATCGCAGGATCCGTCGCTATAAAATGATCATGATGTAAATACCTATAACCATCTGTATAACCAATATACTGTTTACGCATTGCTGCAAAGCTTCTGGTAACAGCATCTTAAAAAGCAATTAGTTAATGTAGTGAACCCCTCAAGCGGATCATTTACATGTAAGCCATTAAACTTTTTCATTTACATCCAAGATACCAATTTGGTTTTTCTATTTAGGGCATCCCATCTGTTTTCAGCCAATTTACTGGTCCCAGACTTAAAACCGCTCAGCACCCACATTCCCGTTCAAAAGATAAGTAAATTTTTAACTAAAGGATTTGTTTAAAGATCTCGGCAAATTAATTTTAAGAGATCTAAATTCATGAAACTTCAAAGATCTAATTAAATTAATCTGTGTTGGTAAAAGTTTAATCAATATCAATCCGGCACAAACAAAATAATTGTCCTAGTAATGAATGTTCACTTGATCTGATGTTTGTATTGCCTTTGAGTCTCAAAAATTGGAAATTATTTAATTTGTCCAAATTGTGAGCCTAAATTAATTGTTACTGTAACGGAAATTGCATCAGTTAGCAATATGTTCATGCAACAGTTAAGTAACTTTTTGCCTCGTTTAAGGCTTTCGTCAGTGTTAAGTAATACAGGGCTAGCTCAAGAAATCCAGGAACCACGAGCGGAAAAATAATAATATTGAGAACAAGGTCAACACACCTTCTTCGGTAAACAATACAAAATGTCTAGTTGAAATATATGATTAAGTTTGTAACCTTATACAGCAATTTTTATTTCTCAGTGGGGGCACATACGAGCCATTTCTGTGGAAATTATGATCTGCGGTCTATAGCATTACATATAATAGAATTTTTGAGCCTAGCTAGCACAAAGTGCGATAATAATCAAGAGAAGGCTTGATACTTCATACTTATGATACAAGAATCTAAAATACATGGTAAGTATCCAAAAGCCTAATACATTCTATATAAACTATTTAAGACTACTTAATGACATATGCTGCATCAATGAATTATGAATGGATTGGGGTCCATCACCTAAATTAATATGTAACTTTTTATATGAAATTTATAAGGCACACATTACAGCCTTCATCATTATGCAAATATGAGGAAAAAACACCAGCTTCTCATTATGTTCAAGAACATAAAGGCCGCATATAGTCAACAGATTTTAAAAACGCTCCACTGACTCATATACATAAGCTTCACTTTTAAATATTGAAAGCACTCTGACAACTTACTCAATATGGGCAACCATCATTCAAAATCTTTATAGGCAACATATTCAACAAATAAAGCATAAAACACAGTGAAGGAATAGTAAAGCCTAAAGCTAATAAAGTAGTGTTAGAATTACCAGACACATGAATCGCAGTTTGTACAGCAGCAAATATCCAAAGATAAGAACTTATTGATAGTTTCAGCAATTAAATACCGTTTCAATCTTGAAACTGCAGGGAATACTTGCGATTAGGGAAAATAACAATAAAATCAAACCCCACAGAAAAAACTAAATTGAACAAAGAAATCAAAAGTGAATTGGAAACAAACAGAATCATATAGAATTGCAAAGGCAATCAATTTTAAACAGAAAAAATAAAGTTATGGCACCGTTAATTTCCTCTAAGCACTTGGTTAAACCACACTACATAAAGCAACTGAAATTACCATGAGGAGAGAAGATCGAACCCTAGAATCAAAAAGCCATCAGGAGAAAACCAGAGAAACCCTAGCTTTACGGCCGTATAATGTAAGTGTGATGTAAATTAAAGGAGATTTGAAAAATGAATTTAGATTATCCCAATTAATGCAGGGAGATACGCGATTAAAATATCTGAATACCTCAAAAATAGAAATAAATTGATTGAGAAATAAATCAAAATGGAAAAAACAGTAATTGCAGAGGTGGAATAAACTTTACCTTCTTAAATTGAATACACTGAAATCAAATGAAACCCTAGCAAATGATACAGCTAGAACAGAGGGAACTTCACTTTTCTGCGTGTTTCTCTCTCTACATATATACATCTAGAACTTTCTCTCACTCTAAAAATTCTGTGTTTCAGTGAGCGAATTTTAAGCTTTCTCTCCCTAAAACCTTCGTTTTCTTCTTTTCTCTCACTTCACAAAACCCTCGCTTCGTTCTCTGTGAAGCCTTTTTTCGGAACCAGAGAGAGAAAGCAACGTTTCTTCTTCGTGCAAAATTTTTTAATTATTTTCCCAATTTGAAATTTTATATATTTCAATTTTCTGGTCGGTTTTCGTTCGGAATTGGGTAAATGCACATGCCACGCGTGTGAGAGCCGTTGGCTTGGAGCCGGCTCAATAGAGACCTGCTTGTCCGGTCAATCGGTAACAATGGATATTTCTATTTTACTTTCATCAATTATTATAAAAAGAAAAAGACATAAGTTGAAAAAAATAAAAAAATAAAAAAACTGTCAATTTCGGGTATGCTTTGAATGTGGGTCTTTTTTTGTATTGAGTTTCGCTGAAAGCAGAAGATGGACAAGGTCCGAGCTGAAAAGGAAAGGAGCACATCGTTGTCCATGGCTCCACGCCAATACCTAAGTCACGTGAGGTGTGCACGTGTCATTTTTGTGCAATGAAGCTTGTGAATTTGAGAACCCTTTTCAATTACAATTTCTTGTTTTGTACAGCGATCAAATTTGTTAAAACTTAAAGAACGAAATGGTTCGAAAAATGTTTATTTTTCATGATCATCTAATTTTAAAATCAAATGATTACAAGGTCATGTGATATTGAAATTCTTCCTTCTTTACCCATGGTGTTGAACAACAATATGTATAAATGTTAAAAAGACACATGCATATGCATGTGATGAAAAGCTAATTAAAGACTGCAAAATTACAGTCAAAAGAAAATATTAAAAGATTTCTTGCTTGACTTACATTACTTTGGTTTGTTCCTTTTCATGTGCTAAGGCATATGTAGTAATAATACACAAACTGAATATGGTTAAATTGGGTTTTTAATTTTTACTACTCTTTGCATGGACCAACATTAAAGAATGATAGTGAGGACCATGGGAGCTCTGTTCTATTCCTTAAATCTTAGTAACCATCTATTAAGTATTGTGGGCGGCTGGGGATGGCATTATTACTACTGTAATAAAATGTAGGATTGGTTTCTAAGAGAGTAAAGTAAAATTTTGCATGCTAGTGAAAAATGCAATTTCACTCCTATCTTTAGAATTGTTATAGATGATAGCTTTTGTATCTTTTGATCCCAGAAGTGCCTAAAGAGGTTAAAGTTTCAGAGGATACTGATAGAATAAAATATGGATAAAGAAATATATACACATGTATTATGTTTTAAGAGCTCAATTCTTTTTACTATTATATTCTGTTATTGCTAGGAGTAGGTGGGGATCATTGGCTTTGGTCCTTTCAAATGAAACTCACATTTGATGAGACAGAAGAATAAGAACAATTCCTAAAACAATCTTCATCTTCATCCTGGAAAAGCTTCAATAGCACCGGAAATATTCTTCACCAAAATCCGCAAACAAGATATTCACCAAATCGAAAACTGATTCGATACTCTTTTCTTTTTCTTGGTCTAGGGAGATGTTCATCTACTGTGTGCGTGGAAAATTCCAAGTCAAAACTGTAAAATAATAATAATAATCTTACTATTCAAACTTCGATGGTGCAAGAGTCGTCAAAGAAGCTATAGTAAATTAGTAATATTTTTAACTTTTGTAAGTACGTATCTTAAGTCAACAAAGCAGTCTCATTGGAAATATTCGAGCTGTAGAACGGTTTGTTTGAATTAAGGCCGTTAGATTTGGTAAGGCCCACTTACTTGGCCCATTTATGAAAATTTCAGTCTGGGCTTTAACGCGGATAAGTAATTTTCCCAAAACAAGAAAAAGAAATACATAAACTGACACACAGCTAAAAGCAAGAATGTATGCCCACAATGTTTATAGCGTTGCTTTTGAATTAAAATTTTAATATTTGAGGTCAACTACTACTACTAGCAATTTGCTTAAAAAAAAGGCAGCAAGGCACTTATTGTGGCTAATGGGTAGGAGGGCCAACTCTAGAATATTTACAAGATAGCAGAGATGATTAATACTCAAGTTGAAAAGACATCAGAAAGCAAGAAACAAAAAGGGGAAAAGATAAGGGTCTTAAAAAGTTTTGTTTTTTAAGCTAAATCAGTTGGGATTGAGACGTTGAGAGCAGTCATACAGATTACCATCCCACTTATTAGACCAATAGTCCTACTCACTACCCAATGCTTAGAAAATCTCCAATGAAAAGTTTCCAAAAGTACTATGGAGACAACCTGGCCATGAAATGAGAAAAAAAAAAAAAAAAATGGTTAGCTCATGGACCATCATGATATAATGTTGGAACCAATAGAGACAGACCACAGCTCTCAGGAATTTATTCAATCATTTCACTTGCCTTGAATTTCAAATTTCCAAAATTACTCTCATTACTTGAGAAAAATCCCAAGGGATTACTCTGATTATTGCAACTCTTTTGTGAAATCTGAGTATTGGGCCCGAGTAGTGAATCCAGCCATGACCCATTCGCTCCACTTCTCGAATTAAGTATTGGGCTAGTTTCGTCTGAAAACTTTCTTTAGACATCTTGATAAAATAAACGATAATACTAATTAATTATGACAAAAGCAACAGAATCTATCACTTAATATCTAACAGGCAGTATTCATAACGTAAAAGCCCAAACAAAAACAAAAATGCCTCCCATTCCCATGGGAAAGGGGAGAAAAAAAACTAATTACATGCTTAGATACGAAGATTGCTCTTAAGCAAACGTAGGAGAGAAATGTTTCCCTGGGTTCTTTCATCAGCAACCGCTTTCTTTCCCCCTCTGTTACCCTGCAGAAACATTGAAGGTAAATCTTCACCTCAAACCAAACGTAGAAATAAATATTTTGTTTCCTTTCATCCTCATTCCCTAAGTTGTAAACGAATTTGATTTTTTGAGATCACTGGAGGGATGATGTATTATAATAGAATACAAATAGGAAACCGAGAGGGATTAAAAACAGAACTGACATTAATAGGATTGACTTACTTTCGGTTTCTCACCCTCATCTTCAATCCCCAAAGCACTGAAATCCCTCAGTAATATAGATGAGGCAGGCTGAAGTCTCCTGATTATTACAGTACAATTTAGGACTTCATTAGAAGAAAAGATTGACATCGACCTATCAAAAAATAGTAATCAACCAACCTCTTTGGTTTCTTCATATTCAATGATTTGCATGAGGAGTTGTATCTTATGTCACAATCTGGCACATCAAGGTTGCATTCTTTGGTGACTGCTGCGTCTTCTTTGTGTGATGGTGGTGGATCCAATGGTTTCTGAAAAGAGAGGAACAGATTTGAAAAAAAGGCTTGAAAGATTTTCATATTTATCTTAAGCTAGATAGTTTACCTAGTATATCCCCTTAATTTTTGGAGATTTAAATTGGAAGGAAAATACCAACTTCCAAAAAAAAAAAAAAAAAAAAAAAAAAAAAAAAAAATAAAAAAACCGTTTGTTTAATGATGAAATTACATAGCAAACTAGCATGAATTTACGCGTCGGAGCAAAAAAAAAAAAAAAAAAAAAAAACGTTTGTTTATGATGAAATTACATAGCAACTAGCATGATTTACGCGTCGAGCCTCAATTGCAAACCGATACATGGTTAACTGATTTCAAAGGGCATCAACGCACAATGATTCTCAATGAACACCGGAACTTTTTCTAGTTAATGAAAATAAGTTAGCTGCCTGTACCCAATGTACCTCAGTAAGAAAATCCTGTCCTTTTTCGGAGTGCTATTGCATTTAGATGTCTTAAGGTTTGAAGAATGAATATTTACAACAATCTGAACACAAAAAGCCTCAGATAATACTTGTTTTCTCAGTGCAGAAATGCAAATGCATTCTCAATAAAATATTGCCAGTTTTCTAATTTTAGAGAAAACGTAAGTGGCTGACATACCTGAGATGAAATATCCTGATCCTGCCTTGGAGAGCTACTACATATAGACTCCTCCACATTGAGAGAATGAACATTTTCCTCCATCTAAGCATAAAAGTTCCAAGTTAATAAGTGCTTTGAGCATAAAAACACAGGCAGTCTCTGTGAGTTTGCTACAATTTGTTTATCTTTTTAATTTATTAAAAAAAGGAAAAATTTCACTATCAGATGTACCTGACTAGTAACTTCCTCGTCACATCTAGTACTGGTGCATTCAGATGTGTTGAGGTTGGGAGAATGACTCTTCACATCCACCTGAAGAACATATGAGCCTCATATTATTTCTTTCCCCAAAGCAAACTTGTTCGACTATTGGCAAGTGAGGAAAAAAAAAGATTATAGCTAAAATACAGATGGCTTATGCACCTCAGAAAATATATCTTTATTCAATCTTTGGTTCAAGTCACATTTTGCACAGAAGCTATTGCATTCAGACGCCCTACAGTCTGGACAGTGAGCACTTGCATTCATCTAAAGATGGAGGAAAGTTTAAACATAAAAAATACACAACCAGGATTTGAAAGAGAAAGCGGAGGAAATCACATTTCAACAGACCTCAGAAAATAAATCTGGATCCAGGTTGCACATTGTAGGAGAGTTATCACACTTGAATTTGGTATTAAGCATCTGGACATAATAAAAAAATATTTAAATCATCATTCTTTTTTTCTATGCCTAATTGCATGTGTAAATAATTTAAGTGAATTGTGACAATAATTCAAGAGCTAAGCTAAGCAAGAACTAAACTCAGACAGTTCAACCTTTAACTAAAGAAGAGGAAAAATAAAAGCATATCTGATTACCCCATCGACATCACCACATTTATTTCTTTCCGAATACATAGGAGCATCAACATCAGTATCTACTTTAAGTAAGGTGGCCTCCACTAAATTTTCCTTCGAACAAGTACAAGATGACTTAAAATCTTCAAGTTTCTCTTCCAGCTCAGTATATCTAGTCTTTTCATTTATAAGATTCTCGCGGAGACTCTCAATATGCTTTTCTGCCACCTAATCAAGACCAAGTATCAAGCGTATTTGTATATATATTTATCATTGAATTTGCATTTAGCCATCAAGTACCAGCAATGGCATTAACAAAAATTAAAATTGTAGCGGTGTATACCAGTTATGATATTACCATGAGTTTTTCTTTATATTCCTTCAAGACATTCCATAATGCTCTAGCAAAATTTTGCATAATTTGATGGTTCCTGTTTTTTATAGTCAAATCATTGCCATCTGGCTTGATAGGTGCAATATCAACAGCCTCCAATTTAGAGACTCCTGCGACATCTGCAACCCAAAGAAAAGGCACGTTTGACACATGTTCTAGAGCAATAGCTCAACTAAAATAAAAAGAGAACCTATAAGAACTGATATATAACTCGACCTTCCTCCAAATTTGAATGATCATCCCAGCTGCTTTTTCCTTCTTCAACCTGGAAAAAACAAAAGATTGCCTAGTGAATTATTTTTATTTATAAAATGGCATTAAACCATGGAATGTAAAACTATTTCCACTTATAACTGCTTCCAATTAAGAATCCTGGCTCTACTACCAGCTATACTGCAGACTAGCAATTCATATATTCCAGCCTTTATCCAATAGAAAGGATCCCCCTTTCAGTAAGAAAATGTCTGTAACCCGAGTGAATTAAGAATCAACATAAAGTGCACAAGTCACATGTTACTGAATTGAAATGTACTTTTGTAGATGAGATATAAAGGAGGAAGGTTGAAAAATAATACATACTGTTATAAGTAGTGTAGACAAGATTAACAACTTGGAAGGGTTAAAAAACAATACCATATGAGCTTCAGGGCCACAGTACTTTTTTTTTCTGGGCTCTTCAACTCTAGATAATGATTGAATATGCCTCTTGTGCTGAACTAAATTGGGTTGCTCATCAACATTATTGAACCTAAATAAGTTACACATTGAATCGAATCTATTCAAATAAGAAATCTGAAATTTGAATGGGACGGAAGAGAAAACCGGTACTTGATTTTCATAAAAGGTGAAGCTTGTCTCAACAAGTAAACTGCATCAAGATAGTCCTCTTCTCCTGGTTTGACCGTTAAAATCTGAAACAACAAATGTAAACAGGGAACTTTTAACAGAGCCTAATAGAAAATCATAAGATAAAGAGGCGTAAGAGATTTTTATCAAAAAAAAAAAAAAAAAAAAAATAGAAAATCATAAGATAAAAGAGGCGTAAGAGACTTTTTTATCAAAAAAAAAAACAAAAAAAAGAGAAGAAAAGAAAGAAAGAAAGAAAGAAAGACATCAACAGCACAAAATCATTAGCTCAGGCAGACCAAAAAGTTGAGCTGAAACATCAATACCAAAGCCCATTCGCTTTCGTTGCCTTCCAAATAATCTCTCAATATCTGGTTAACTGTAAGGAGGAGAAGCCAAATTTGAGTGGATTTACATATAAATACAGGAACAATGTTTACAAAACAGAAAAAAAAAAAAAAAAAAAAGAAAGAAAGAAAGAAAGAAAGAAAGAAAGACATCAACAGCACAAAATCATTAGCTCAGGCAGACCAAAGTTGAGCTGAAAACATCATACCAAAGCCATTCGCTTCTTGCCTTCCAAATAATCTCTCAAATATCTGGTTAACTGTAAGGAGGAGAAGCCAAATTGAGTGGATTACATATAAATACAGGGAACAATGTTTAACAAACAAGCGTATCTATTGGCATTGCTAATCAAGTATCAGATTAATGAACAGACTGAGTGAAAAAAGAATTCATAAACCATACAGAATAAGTAACAAGAATACACATTACCAAAGAGTTCTGGAAGTGCTTCTGCAATGGCTTCTTGGGGTTCTTTTGGTGCTCCAATAATGACTGAATACCCAGAGCAATGGATAATATGATAAGTGATAAAACATGAATAGGGAGAGAGAAAAACAGAGAGGGATGGTGTGAAAAAACAATCAGATTAGAAGTTTCTAAACGCTGAATAATAGCTTTTTAGGCACTGATAAGATATGACATGACAAATAAGAATAATCAAGTGAACAGCAAGAATGCCTTGGAAATCCAACAAACTGAGTTAAGTTTGCATACTCTTAGGCACAGGCCAAAAACCATCGATGTGTTGTTGATGAAATTACTTTCAAGCAATCGTGAACCCTGCAAATTGATAAACCAAAGTTGAGCTCCAAGGAATCTACATTGACATTTAGATATCAAACCTACTCTTCCAACTTTTATTGATGTTTACTGGTTTATTCGACTGAAAACAAAGAGAAAAAATACGAAAAGGAAGGAGAATTATCATCCCAACACTTTTCTAAAGATCTAGTGAAAAGATATTAGCACCTAAACTTCCAGCAGTTATTGGAGTTAGAAACTCCTAATATGTTCAACATTAGACCCAAAACCATCATAATCTCAAAAATAAACTTTCTCCGGAATATATTAATGGGCTTTACATTATCCAATAGAAGAAAAGAAAAAGATTTATCTAGGTGTTTCGATTACTATCCCCTGGATGTGTTTTGCTACTAAAATAACCTAAATCATACAGGGGTTGGCTAGTTGTTGAATTATACTAAAAGAAAAATTATATCTGAAACCTGATTTCCAGTTCTCCTTTCTCTTTCAGCCCCAGCTAGATCAACAATAGTTAAGATAGAATTGTTTGATTGAACATCTAGCTCTTCACCGCACTGGTTAACAAGACTGTGGATGTTGATGATGCACTGTGACCGGCTGCAAGCATGTTAAAATGAGGAAAAAGGAAATTACAAATCTAACCACAAAGTTATTATGAAAAATCAACGATATAGCATAAAGTCTTGTAAGAACATTGCAAAAATACTTATCATTAAGTAGCAGTTTGTCATCAAAAAATGAGTACAAGGGAAATGAAGCAAAAGAATGTCTAAACAGATAAATGTATGTGTAGCAAATATCCTATGTATAAGTAACAACAAGAGGACATTTGCATTAAACAATAACATATGTCAACTGCAATTTAAATAGAGATATAAACATTCTGACTGAAATCAACTTGCAGTTTTATCCGGAGAGATTATCAGCAAACTTCTTTTCTACACGAATGCAATGCAAGTTACCTAAGCACAACAGTTATAAATGTAATATGATTCTTCCTTTGATCACTTCAGCTATGACCTAAAAGTCATCAGTCAATTGACTGCTATTGCATGTGACTAAAAGAAAGAGGAGAATTATCATGAACTTTTAAATTCTATCTGAAGGTTATAAAACACAATATCTGGCAATGGCAGGTGAAATGATAGTGAAAGATCATGACCATCACCTAAAAGGACTTCAACTAAAGTTTGCCCCTTGAATTGGTGAATTTCTGTAATCTATTAGTTGGCTCTTATTGAAGAACGTCATTTTCCAAACTATTAGGACAAGATTCTGACGATTTTCCTCAAAATTAGAAACAAAGTTGATATGTAATTTTTCTACACCGAAGAGATAATTGATAGTTTAGTTTATTTCTCTAGAATAATTAGGAAAAGCTTTCCAGAAAAAATATGCAAACCATCGCATGAAGTGTGGGCTTCCAACAAATTGCCAAGTAGCAGGGAAGATTTGACACTTTATTCCAGGAGGAAACATCAAAACATTGGGAAAGCCTCATCCCTCAACCCCACATTCGAGTCCCTCCTCTAAATTAAGATGTAAACAAACTGCTGAAAAAAAAAATGCATCCAGATCTTTCAACAAAGTAAATAAGTATTTTAATCATTGAGCACCTTGATTGGCTGTTTGAATTTGTCATGGCTGTCGCACGTTTCAGCATTGCGGAAGCTATCAGGGATTCCGCCTGTGCAGTATCAGTAACGGCGACCTGTTTGCATGAATCAAGTGAGAAAGGTCTCATACCCTCTCAATGCTGATAATATTTAACAGACAGCATAAAATAGCTATCGACCTCTTGGAGACCTTTTATAGTTGACTGCTGCATGGACAAGTCACCTCCTTCCGGAGACAAATCAAATATTCTCTCTGCCTTTCCTCCTTCAGAATATATTTCAAAAATGGATATGTAGAATGACCTGTAAAGCAACCAAATAGAGAAATAAATGCAATGGCTGCCGAAGAAAATTCGCAAAACATAATCTCGCACATATTTTGGCGTCCTTAACCACATACAACTCCAGGAATCCTGCGTATATGAAGAAAAAAAGAAAGTGAAACATTGTAAATTACCTTGTCAACTTAGAGCCACACTCCTGGTTCTGTTTAAAAATTTGTTGAAGTGCAAGTGGAACCATCCCAGGCTCTCTCACAGTCCCAAACACCGTATGAGTCTTGCCCGAACCACTAGGCCCCAAAGCAGCTAACATTCCATTTTTACCATTAAGAAAATCCTCCACCAAAGGCTTCACCATCTTCTTATACACTGCATTCTATGGACAAAAACGAAATTTTTTGATTCGTTAAAATAGAGAATACTAAAACAATCAACCGTGAAAACTATGGAAAAAAGCGTACCTGAGAAGCATCGGCAGGAAAAACATGTGAAAAACCTTCGTATACCACAGCCTTGATCCTTTTAGAGTCTTGCAAGGCTTGGGGCGGCGATAAAGTCACTGATTGAGAATCGTTGACTGATATACAAATCTCGCTACTCTTTTTCTTCGTATTCTTCTCTCTTATAGCATTCTTCTTAGCTACAGGGTTTTGAGGCCAAGCATTTTTGTGCCTCTGCTTAAAATTTTGATCGTTAACGCCTTTGGAGAGTGGCTTGGGAGATACAAGAGGTCGAATTCTTAGATAGACTTTTAGGTTCTCAGAAACTTGGGCTAGGGTTGTCGTGGCAGTAGGTGGCTCTGGTTGAGTATTCTGAGGAATTTCCATTGCGAGAATTTCTTGAATCGGAAATGGAGTAACATCTGGTTTTGTTGACGATGAAGGGATGAGGTTCTGTGGCGGGTTTGTGGAAGGAGTAGGCCTAGCCCTCCGTGGAGGATTTCGACGGACGGTGACGGTGTTTGGACATGGAGGTGGGCTTTTCATCTCCATCGGTGCTATCTTCCTTCCCTCTCTCCCGTCAATTTTCACTACTAATCTCTGGATAATATGTTATAGAGTATACAGAAGGAAGGTGCCATGAACAGTGTTTCCCTCCCTTTCTCTTTGATTCTAATTTGTGCAATCTCAAATTCTTATTTGGCGGAAACAGGAAATGGAGAGATGATTTGAATTTAGGAAAATTAGTTCCTCCGATTCAAATAATCTGGTCCGTTCATTTGATCCGACGGTTCACTTAGGTTCGTCCTTCAAAACGACGATTTACAATTGCACATGAATCACATCCATCAAAGAGAATGTCGTTTAAGCAAGTAAACTACAAAGACTTTGCCGACCGACACAAACGACCGAACACCACAATTTGGTGGTTATCTCACTTTCCATAGTCGTTTTGCTTGACAAAAAATGAATTTTGCTGGTTTTTCATTTTAGTGTCTGAGATTTATTTTTTATCCATTAAGTGTCTTATTGAATAAAAACTTTTCAATTAAGTACATTTTTCTGGATCCTTTACCGAAAAATCAAAAAACATAATTTTGCTTGATAAATGATATCAAAGATAAGTATCTATTTAATTCATCCCTTTTTAACTTTTCATTCTCTTAATTAATTCAAACACTAAAATGAGTACGTTGTATAGCTGCGACATTTTTCATTTTCAATTTGGAGATATTTGCAGGAGAGAAAATTTGACATAGTTGTTACTCCATTTCGGCTTTTATCTGTAAACCACTTGGATGAAAAATGCTTCAGTAAGTAGCAAACATAGTTTGACATTCACCGGAAAATACAAATGAATTTATGGCAGGACAGCACCTTGTCGCGCCAATCAATTCATGAGAGCAAAATTTTCCTTTATACTTAGAAAACCAACAGAATTCAAACGACGAAAACTGATAAAATTACCTAAAGTCAAGAATGGACAACCACTTCATGTCTGACCATCTCATACATAAATAACATAGGGACTGAGTTTACAAAAACACAGAGATGCATTTTTACAATGAGTGAAGCAAATAAGACAAACCGTAACAATAACACATGCGTTTCCGACCTCTTTTTTTCAGAAATTATTACAATTTGTTTGGGTTTTATTGCTCGAAAACACTAAGTATTGCACCCTAAATAGTGATCAGGCTAGGCGCATTCTGGGGAGGATTAGTAAGCATGTAAACAACTTCCCTCATGGCGGGTCTAGCAGAGCTTTCTTCAACAACGCACATCATGGCTATCTTAAACAGGTGAATGACACTGGTAACTGGGTATCCAGTAAGTCGAGAGTCCAGAATAGCCATTACTGAAGCTGCATCCGACGGCTGAGAGAGTTCCGATGTGGTTTTCCTTACCCATTCCACTATGTCCACTCCTTCTCCAAACTCCCCCACTGGCTTCCTCCCCGCTATTAGCTCCAACAGTACAACTCCAAAGCTGTAAACATCGCTTTTCTCGTCCACTTTCAGCGTGTAAGCGTATTCTGTCTTGCACAACAGAGACCTTTCTTTCAGGATAGAAGCTATGGAAGACTTGGGACGTAATTAAACAAATATGGATTTCAAGTCAATATATAAACCTAATCCATCTATGGCCAAGCATTTGATATGTTATTTCAAGAAAGTAATAATTTAAATCCCCTTTAAATTTTAAATAGATTCACGAATTAGAATACTAATTGAAGCATCTCCTATATCTCAACAAATTAATGCTTCATATGAAACAGGGAATTGGACACGCAAAACCGTTCTTCTTCACAAGATTTTTAGTGAAAAAATAAATGGTGATAATAATAAAGACTGATCATAATTGAAAAGGGTTTACGAAAACCGAACCTGGTGCGATGTAACCATACGAGCCCGCAATGGAGGACATGCACTCTGATTCACCAGCGTCCTGCAAGAACTTGGCCAGCCCAAAATCAGCCACATGAGCCTCATTATCCGAATCAAGCAAGATATTATTGGACTTCACGTCCCTGTGAATTATAAGAGGAGAGCAATCGTGGTGAAGATAACAAAGCCCCTTGGCTGCCTCAACGGCAATTTTGTATCGGGTCTCCCATTTCAAATGCCCTCCCTTTGATCCATGCAACATTTCCCCCAAGCTCCCATTAGGCATGTACTCGTATAATAATAAATTTGTATCCTTGTTTGATACGTATCCCAACAGCCTCACGATATTTCGGTGCCGGATTCTTCCAAGAGTTTGAATCTCGGCGGAGAAACCGTGATCGCTCCGCCCACTCCCTCTACCCACCAGTCTTTTGATTGCTACTTCACCACCATCTGGCATGGACCCGCGGTAGACTATCCCAGCACCACCTTTGCCTATGATGTTCTCTTCTTTCAAGCACTCTAGGACGTCCTCTGCTTTGAAATCGAGCCGTTGGAATGCAGTTAGCTTCCAAGCCCTGGATTTCTCAAGCCTCTTCTTCCTCAATCTGTAAACCGTTACTATTATTAGCAACAAAGCGGTGACGAGGGCAATGATGGCTATTATTAACTTCGAGGTGTTGAACGACCCCGTGTGACCATGACTCGAATCCTGAAGTATATTTACGATAGACGGGCAAGAAGTTTGGTGTGGTGCACAGAGATTGGGATTTCCAGCGAAGGAGCTGTCATTAAACACCAGAAACTGCCCTCCTGAGGGGATTCTGCCCAGCAGATTATTGTGGGTGAGATCAAGAGTTGTGAGGCTTGTCATGTACCGAATGTCACCCGGTATTTGGCCTGTGAGCTGATTTTGAGAGATATTGAGAATGCTCAAATCCTTCAAGTTTGCAATCCCTTTAGGAATTTCGCCGTGAAGGCTGTTTCGACTGAAATCAACTGATGTCAGAGAATTACAGTGGGAAATTGATGGGGGAATTTCACCGCTAAGGTTGTTGGCGCTGAGGTTGATTGTGGTTAGGAACTTGAGATTGAAGATTTCACTTGGAATTTCACCTGAGAATCTGTTCATACCAAGGGATAAAACGTGCAAATTTTGCAAATGGCCTAATGCTTGCGGGATTTTTCCGGTGAGTCGATTGTTAGAAATCGTCAAAAGACCAAGTGCATCTCCGGATATCTCGTAGGGGAGTTCTTCGGAGAAGTAGTTGTCGTTCAACTCGACCACGGTCACCAGTGGCAAATTAAAGATTCCGGCAGGGAGACTTCCTGATAGGAGGTTGTTCATGATTCGGATTTTGGTTAAGGACTTACACTGGCCAAGCTGTTCAGGAAGCGGTCCAATGAAGAAATTATTCATGAGTATCAACTCCTTTAATTTCTCTTCTTTGCACAAATCTGGAGGAATCGCGCCGGTAAGGTGATTGAAAGACACGTCCAGCATCTTCAGCTTTCCGTTCCGGCCAAGATTCTTTGGGAGCTCCAAAGTGAAGTTGTTGACCCAGACGTGAAGAACTTCCAGGTTCGGAAAATCACCGATAAACTCTGGGATTTGACCGTACATATTGTTCTTGAAAAGATGGATAAGCGTTATATTCTTCAACTCTGAAAAGCTATCTGGTATTTCTCCAGTGAGGTTATTGATGGAGAGATCGAGCGACTTCAAGCTAATTAAACCGGATAATTCAGGAGGAATATGACCTGAGAGATTATTCATTTGAAGAAATAAGGAATCCAAGCTCTTTAACTGGCCCAAGGTAGGGGGAATCTCGCCGGTAAGATTACAGCTGGCCATATCAAGAACTTCAAGTGAACTCAATGATCCAAACTCCGGGGGAATACCTCCTTCGTATGAGCTATAGTACCCGAGGTACAAGCGCTTAAGATTCTTCAACTTAGCCAAGCTTGGAGGGACCTTACCGGAAAGACCATTACCATTCAAGCCTAAGTACTCCAAACTTTGAATCTCCGAGTATGACTCTGGTATTGGTCCACTAAAGTAATTTCCGCCGAGATGAAGGTGCTTTAGATTCCTTAAGTGCCTGAGCTCCGCCGGCAGTGAACCTGAGAAGTTATTATTGTAAATGTCAAGGACCTCAAGCTGAGCCATGCCAAGAATAATCTCTCCAGGGAAATTGCCTACGAAGACATTATTGGAAATGTTGAAAATCCTAATAGACGTGAGCTTGGCCAGTTCCAAAGGAAGCCTTCCGGTGAGATTAAGTGAAGTGATGGTCAGGTTCACAAGCTTATTCAAGAACCCAATTTCAGGAGGAATGAAACCAAACAAACCATAATGCGATGACAGGCTGAGAGACACCACACGTAAGCCCTCATCGCATGTTACTCCAGTGAAGGAGCAGTGAGCAGACGGAGACGGGGATGGTGTCCAATCGTCCAGCCCACGGCCATTAGGTCCGATCATGGAGGATTTCATTTTCAACAGTACTTCCATATCAGAGTAGCCATAGCAAGAAGCTAAAAGTACAATAAGAAGAAGAAAAGTCAGTGAAATTCTCATTTTTGGTCCTCTCACTGACCCTTTCTTTCTTTCTACTTCTTCAGAGGAAGTAATAAATGGAGGTAGAGTTATTTCTATGCTTGCTGTTCAATAAGTAGCTTAGGACTTGCAGGCTATATTAGGTAGCGTCTTGAAAAACGAATCGAAGACTCGCAGTATCAAACTTGAACGAATAAACAAAAGCGAAGAGAGAGAAAGCGGTGGGGGTTGCATTGCATGAGCTTTTGTGTGTGCTGGACCCTATCGTCTGCAGTTTGGGATGGGTTGGGATTTTACAGTGTACGTTCTGGATTTCAGTAACGGAGTTGAAGTAACAGTGATTAAGCTTCCATTGGTAGATTTTAGTGGAGACGAAAACATGTGAACGTTAACGATTAACGGAGTTATCTGACCGACCCACAAGTAGGGCCCTATTGGTGTGACGTTACTCAGTATATAGATGTATTTTGCCGGCGTGAACTGGCGGTTTGAAAGACATGGCATGATAGTGTTTGACGCGCCAGTTTTATTGATGACGTGGTTTAATTAGAAATTTTAATCTTACACTTAAACGACGCCGTTAGTATGAAATCTTGCCTTTGTTGAGAAGCGAGAAGTGAGGACAATATGAGTCTCGGCCTTTTCCCTGGCTTTTGGGGTTATAATTGTTTTCTAGCAAAAATCAATGTGGATCTCATCCTTTTTTGGGCTTTAAAGGCATATACTGGGCCCAGAGCAAAGTCCGTCTGTGTCTTTTTCCCAAACAGACATTTTTTTTCTGACTCCAAATTGGCTGTCTTCTAAAAGTCCACTCTTTTTGTTCTTTTTCTCTAATTTCTTCCTTTTCCTCCAAATTGATTTCTCAGTGCAGGTGGGCCCTCGGTCAAATGGTTCATACAGTTGCAGTTGCAGGAAATAGCGTATCATCCTCTAATTTTTGTTCTCTTTCTCAGCCATTCTCGTGATCCAGTGCTGCACTGTCTTTATCACTGAGTCTCCTATCCGATTGGCTCAGATCTTAAATTATCCAACAAGGTAACAATGACTCTGATAAACATTTTTTTTTTCCCTTATATTTCTAAAGTGGCTTTTGTTTAAAGCTAGTGGGCATGAAATTGTTCCCCATAAGAATTATATTAGTATATGATAATTTGAGAGCCGCAAGGCAGGAATTGTGACAAAGAAGACAGGCATTTATTCTAATGATAATGCACTTGTTTAGAGAACTGATTCTAATTCTTCTAATACACAGAGTTAGTGGAGGCAGGAATTCTTGTTTAGAAGAATCATCCAAAGTGTGAGATTGTGTGTGGATGATTTAGAGAATAAAGATACTTGCTTTTACAGCAGCAAGTGCAAAACCAAACCTACTTGAACAATTAGGGTTCTTCTTTATCCAGAACAAGAATCTGTAGTTAGTACTTGAAAGCAACAAGGTCTAAGGAGTCTAATTTTAGTGTCAAATTCTACTTTTCGTCCATTGACATTCTGGGGGATGTTGGTTGGTGTAGGTTTTAAATTCAACAGAAAAACATTCTTATTTTGAGTATTATGTAACATGCATTATAACTCTTTATATCACAACCAATTGTTTGTGAGAAAGAGCTACAAATCCCTAATAGGGTCAAAGAATCCAAGAAGCTGCAAAATATCTATTTTGCCTAAAAGTGTACTCTGGATTGCAGTTTCTAACTTAAATGCAATACTTTATTCTTTTATGTTGGATGCATTTTGGAATTAATTTATTTTTTATCATGTTGACAACTTGGGCATGTCTAAAGTAAAATTGATTGGAGGTATGTTTGTATCTTAATAGATCTTCCAAATCAAAACATTAAACAATTTCAATAACTTGTTATGCTTCTTCCAGACTCATTAATATTCATCCATTGCAAGATGACTACTTCAATCCATTAAAAATTTTCTCATTGCCAAACTCATTAAACACCCAAACATGACTACTTAAATCTCACTCCGTATTATACTCATCCAAACAAACAAGGTGGTGAAGTAGGAAGTCACTACAGTGCTTAGATCCTAAACCCATGAATGGACTTGATAAGAAGAATCTTTCCCTGAAGCAGAACAGTGGCTAAGGTGGTAGACTGGCAGTAGGTTAAGCCAGTGAAAAAGCAAAACAGAAATATGTAATAATGATGGGTAAGTTTACTCATTTTAGTAATAAGCCAATGGCCTTTTTGAATAGTTTGGGAAACGGGAGTGTGATTGATAGATGGTAGAAGCCTGAGCCCTATTTCATTTGTTCAACTAGGCAATCATCAGTCCAAAATCCTCATCAGTGGCCAACACGTCACATCTCTACTTTTAAAGTGAGCCCTTATTGGATCTCATTTTTGCTAAATTAGGGCCTCCAATCCACTTTTAAAGTTGGGTGTAACTGTTGACTAGCACCACAAAGCCGGCCCACATATATAGGCCTGAGCCCTATTTTCATTTGTTCACTAGGCAGACATCAGTTCAAAATCCTCATCAGTGGCCCAACACGTCCAATCTCTACTTTTAAAGTGAGCCCTCTTTAATTGGATCTCATTTTTTGCTAAATTAGGGCCTCCAATCCACTTTTAAAAGTTGGGTGTAACTGTTGACTAGCACCACAAAGCCGGCCACATATATATATAATATATATATATATATATATATAACAAGAGTATTTGAATAAAATATATATATAACAGAGTATTTTGAATAAAATAAAACAAGAATATGATTAGAGTTACCAATTCTTTTTAGTAATAGTTCATAATGTTGGAAATTTTATATTTTTCAAACGAGCTTATTACTACTTACAACTTAGTCTATAATTAGGTATAATTTATTAATGAAAATCTTCTATTTTGTAGAGTTCAGTTGCAGAGTTTTTCCATTAAAATTCTCTACTATTTTTTAATTACTCAACCAAAAGGAAAAGTTAAATAGAACATTTTTTTAAAGGAAATTTTATTGTCGAAGTTCAATGACAGAAATAATTCCCCTCACTTGCGGACACAAATGAAAAAGACGGGGAACTTTTCCCTCTGGTCCGAAGAGAGAATTCTACACCAAAAAGAAAAAAGTCATTTATTTCCTTTATATGACAAAACAATGCCGGATTTCCCTGACCCTCGGAACAGGTGTCAGAAAAATTACATTTTTACATGATTCTTACAGTGAATTACAGAGTCGGTTCAGAAAACAGAGTATGGTACTCTGCATTAATTCACCATCAAAAGAAGCCAGGCACAACTGAATGTTTTCCACTGGAAATACTTACCCAATCGCAGCATTTTTTTTTTTTACGAAGTTCTCCACTGTAAAATACTTACCCAAGTGCAACATTTTTTTTAAGAAGTTCTCCACTGTAATTCTATTTGAACCCGACCATTCCTCGAGTCGATAAGATGATACTTCTCGTTGATTCTCTTGTTGTTAACCACATCAGCTAGGTTTATATCCACATAACCCAAAGTTTCCTGTCGGAAATTATCATTCAAGGAGGAAAAAATAAAAAAGTATAAGAAAACTTTGAAAGCTGAATAAAGACGACCCAGTTCCCAAGTTTGTAGGGTTCTGGAAGATATAAGCAATTTTTCCACTGATTTTCTATGGTTCGAACCCATGAGCTCCAAGTCACAAGTAGAAGAACTCAACCCGTTGAGTTGAAAAAATAAAAAATATTATTTCAAAAATTTTTGTTAATAGAAACCAGTTTTAACTTCAAAGTAGGTTCAATTGCTGGATCTACTACAATCTTATGATTATACCGAGGCAAAATCTGATAGAAAAGGCAATGGCTTGCGTACCTTGGGATGGAGAAGACCCATCCTTGTGGAGGCACTACAAACTTCCACATGAAGTTTATCATTTGTGGGTGGCTCCTCTAGCATGAACTGAAAATCCTCCTCCCATCTTGGATCTCTGTTTTTCTTCACAAGCTGTATCGATGTGGAATACAAGAATTAATGGGCTGACAATATGTAGCAGTTTTTTTAATCATCCGAACTTTAAAAAAGTTAAATCATCATCGTATGTATTAAAATACTTTGAGGTTTCAGCAACTTATTTCCTAAAAGAAGCTACTCATGTAGAACCTGAGTCTGCCTGCACTAGCAAATGTTAAAAAATTGCAACTCTGTTAAGGTAAACTTCATTCTTAAAAGGGTTCTGCTTCAAGCTTACCTTAGTTTTTCTCTCCTCCCCTCTGAAAAGTAATCTCACATAAGGATTTGTATGATGCTTTCCTTCCACGTCTTGAGCTTCATGTACGATAACCACAAACAAGCCACCACCAGTAGGTGTTCCTTCAGGAGCCTTTTCTACAGCCTTTGGATCTTCAGTATCATTTGGTATTTCATTGTCCTTGAAAGGTTTGTATGTCAGTTCCACAACAATCTGCCCACGTGACTTCTCATTTTGAGGATCATTTGGGTCCATATTTTTCAGCAGTTCTAGTGTCATAACTTTTGGCTCATCAGGTGTAAGCTCTTTCAACGGAACAACATTCATACCCATCTTATCATGTTTCCCAACCTGCATAAAAGCAAACAAAGATTTAGAATTACATAGATGTAGACAAGAAGAGAAGGAAATGAAAACAGCACTTTAGAACTGCAACTGTCCCATAGGAGAGACCTGCACAGGTCAGCCATGGGCTATTTTAAAACTTATATTACGTTCTTCAACATTGCTACTTAACTACATGTCATGGTTAAAAGAAAATACAAGTTCATTAAGCCTAAGCTAGTGATGGAGTAAGGACATCACGACGACCTGAGAGACATACCTGTTCCCAGTCATAAACATTAATCTCCAAGGCCTGGGATTCTGGGTCTTTAACGACAAGGTTAAATTCTTCATTCCATTCAGGGTTCAAGTTTCTGTGCTTCACAGTTGTTTTCTTTGAAGGAAGCTTATCTTCAGTGAGCTTCAATTTGACGTAAGGGTCTGATGCCCCAAGAAGATCTTTCTTTTTAAGCTTCATTGCCCTTAAAACCTTCACAGTGAGAATCCCAACAGGTCGCTTTGAAGCTCTGTGAAATTTTTGGAAAATTTAGTCAGTCCTAGTGAAAGAATTATGTCATAACTGGAAATAAAGGAGAGTAAACACAATTACTTTGCAGGATCGAGGACTGGTATTTGCAGGGATTTGGGCCATAAGTACATATTTGCGACTTGATCTTTTATAAGCTCCTGGATAAGAAATGACAAAATATTAAGGAAACAAAGTGAAAGTAGAGGGTTCTGCGATAACAATTTTAAAAATTGAAGCCAATGAGAGCAGAGAAGCATGGACAAGCCATATAGAGAAACACCCTGGAAATGCTGCCATAGAAAAATAAATAGGATCAAATAATGAAAGACAATTCAGTCATGATCACCTGGACAAATCTGTAGAGGCCAGGAATGGCCATGGCATCTGCTCCAAGCAATTTCAGTCCAAAGTCAACATGGGGCTGCAAAATCAGAGAGAAGTGAGAGGATACTTCACAATACAGAATAATGATACTAAACCAATAGTAAATCTGCAGATGCCTCAATCCTCATACAATTTTGATGAAATAGAACACACAAATCAAGCATTAGAATTTATTAGGTAAATCATTCTTCTGATAAGAAACATCCTTCAGGAAAATATGTGCATCATCAGCACCAAATGAAAGTACCAACTTCAGCATATACAGACTATAACAAAACACAACCTTATCAACTTAATTATTTTCCAACAACAAAAATGACTTTCACAATTAGAACATGCCTTTTCCATGAGAGAGACAAATATATTGGCAAAACAAGGAAATGCAGGAACCAGAGGCTTTAGCGTGACGCGTGGAGCAGCAAATACTTGCAGATCAACCACCTGAAATGCTCTGAAGAAGTTAATACTTCCTTGGCAGATGACAATTTCTCCAAGAAATAGTTCTCATTAATCATAGTTAATGTGTGTGTGCGTTTTTGGTACCACTATCAAATACCTGAACTGTTGCTCTCAAGCCAAATGCTTTAACTGCAACAATGATGTTTGGATTCCCAGCCCATTTCACTGACGGTTCAATGATCAGCTCTTTCTCATCAGTTAAATAAACTTTCATTCCTGGCATATAAGTCAACCTGGAGTGAGATCTGTTCTAAAAATTCAGTGCAAAAACAAATTTAAGGAAGCACAATGTAACTAGATAATCTGTGTTACCGATCTATGTATGAACACATACCAGTCTTGAAAATTTCTTACTAGAGTTTAGAGAATCTCACAGGGAAACCATACAGTTATCTATAATAAGCATCCGGCGTGAAGCGTGTTATTCATGTTGACGCGGGACACAGTTACAAAGTTTTTAAAAAAATAATTCTAACATTTTCTTATGCTTCAACAGATTTCCACACCACTCCCATCAAATCAAGAATTATTAATTGTTGAGTTAACCTGAGACCACATTCTAAATAAAAATAAAGGTGACCATTGCTTCTTCGGTTCTCTCTCTGAATTACACTCAACCCACCAACAAATTATTCAACTATTCCTAATTACCAGCACATTTAACAATCTTTGGTTGCCAAAAAGCAAGAATTTCTAAACTAACTACAGAGATGTCATGAGTCTTGCTAAAAAGTAGAAGGATGAGTGAAATGGTCAACTTATCAGGCCAAACTTTTGGACCTGGGTGCATATATATTGATTCATAATTTGAAAGAAAGAACCTTTTCCACAACAGACAAGTTTAGGCATGAATATACCTTAAATGCAGACCAAGAGCAAGTAGTTATTGTGATGCAACTTAAGAAAATTCATTGTGTTATTTTCTAGTGCTGAGTTTCTTATATTACTGTTTACTCTTTCCACATGGTTCTTTAAACAAATTTTTTTCTACTTCAGCAGAACACATGCATGTGATACATATGCATGCATCCAAATGTGTGAGAGAGAGCAACTTAACCTTGAAAAGTCGGTGGTAGGGAGCCCAAGGTAAGTTCTTCAAATTCAACAGAGTCAATTTTATATTTTGGAATTTGCTCAGCAATAATGGGTTTTGCTATATTCCTTGCAGTCTTGCAAATTGCCTAGAAAACTTGAGGCATCAATGCAATGTCCATAAAGGGAAATGAATTGTAGACAAGAAATATCAGAAGCCACAGTTGAAGATTGAAACATCATTCTACTACATACCGTATCCAAGTAAGGCCACATGGTCCCAATGAATTTGTTAAGCCAGTCAATCTTCACCAAAATAAAACAACTCTATGAGAATCTTGTTGTAAAATTTTCAAAATGCATTCAGGATCCAACATGTCCAAATAGAGAAGGAAAGAATAGAAAAGCAATACATACGCGGTCATAATCTGGATTTTTCACCCAAAGGGGTATTTCTGGGAGCAGTCGTTGCAAAGTTTTCGATTCTTGTTCAACTAAAGGACGAATTACAGGATCCTGAAGAATTCAGTAAGTTTATGATATGAGAATATATGTTTAAACTATTCCTTCAAGAGGAAAAAAAAAAAAAAAAAAAACTAAAGACGAATTACAGGAATTCCTGAAGAATTTCAGTAAGTTTATGATATGAAATATATGTTTAAACTATTCCCTTTCAAGAGGAAAAAAAAAAAAAAAAAGAGCAATGTGGGGATTACGGTACCATGGGAAAAAAAAAAAAAAAAAGACAATGTGGATACGGTACCATGAAGCATTCAGCTTACTAGAAATGCATTTATGTATATATTGAAAAGTTCAATATACCAATCTAAATAAATAAATAAATAATAAAATTAATTTTTCCCTATGTTCTTCAGATAAATTAAGCATGAAAATTTCAATTCATTTATTCTTACTAAACCCTTAAATCAGAACATTATTACTAGTTTAATTATCTGTTCCATCCTTAACTTCTTTTTTTCAAATAGAAATGCAAGGGCAATCATCTGATGCCTCAGAAGATCAAACCACCCATCAAGTACACTCTGCATATTTATGTCACAACAATTATTCCTAAATACTCTGTCTTTGAATCTAAGGCATTGGAGTCTCCTAAACCGAGAAGATCCTACACCACATGACAGTCATAATTCCGAAGACAACCAAAATGGTAGAAAAATCAATTCAACAAGGCAAGTTCAAAGACACACTGCCGCTAACCTTGGAAAAATGTCAGGATTAACTTTCTTCAAATAGGAGGTAAGCTTATACAATGTTTCAGTCACCATTGAAGGAAAATGGACCAGGACAGAGCAAGCAAACTCTAATAGAGCAGGTAAAATTCAAATTGGCCGCATAAAAGTACAGTATTGTTGACCACAAACAGTACAGCCCTTGAATATTAAGAGTTATGAAGTTATATCCATCTCAACATACAAAATGAGCTCGAAATACTTTCCTACTTCTTATCTGTATCTAAATCGAGTGAATATACAGAATTAGCAAACACTCATTGCAGTCCAAACAAGGAAATCTAAAAGGAACTATTAAGTCAAACACATCGAGTAATAAGCAAACAAACCTACAAAGAAACAAGATCTGAAATGTTGACTATTGAGAGAATAGAAAACTGACCTTGACATCAGTTGGCTGAAAGTAGATGAACATGTAGTATCCAATCACAGCCCCGATTGAAGTTCCCACCCCAAAACCACAAAAACCCAGTACAGTACTTAAAATACCCATCTGCAAATCTCCTTAGGAAACTGTAACCTCCAATTAACTATTTCACCTCCCAAAAAAGCCAAACCCAGTACTTGAAACACGAAAGGAACACAAAATCAAGAAACCAGCTTAATGAAAGAGCGTAGAGGCCGTGTATAAGACTCTCTATCTTTCCCTGTACTGCTCTTTATCAGGTAAGTGAAGAGTAATAACGAATAAAGGAGCGCATTTATTCTTGTGGCCAATCTTTTACGTTTAACGAACCATTTTGGTTTTCTTTTAACAACGGCTTGAAACCGAAATGTTCACCCGCGAGATGTTTGGGCAATGTCGGCAAGTTCGAAATGGATATTTTGTGATCCGAAATGTTATGTTTTGATTGGTTGCTGAATTTGCCATCTTAAAGACACTGTTGCTGCTGTGATTACATTTGTTGTTGGATAAAGGAAAGAAAATTATTGATTATTAAAAAAAAAAAAAAAAAAAAACTTAAAGGAAAGAAAATTATTGATTATTAAAAAAAAAAAAAAAAAAAACTGACCTTTTACTGTTTTGCTTTTTTTTTTTTTTTGTTTCTTCCTTCCTTTTTTTTTTTTTTTTTGTTTTTTTCTTCCTTCCTTTCTTTCTTTCTTTTTTTTAATTCTTGATTAATCGTTACATTCCAGGAGATATTCTTTTGCCGTTTTCGACTTTCAGACTATTCCTTGATTTCCAGTCCCTTGTCTGTAAATTTAAAATTTTTTTTCTGAATTGATCAATTTAAATAAAACTGAAATTAAATATCAAATTGAAATATTTATCTGTTTACCCCTAACAAGTTAGCAATTTTTATTCAAAGTTGATGTTTTTTTGGAACTAATCCAAACGACAAAATTAAGCCCAATAATTTCATCACGTCGCATTCATATTATAATGTAACTTTTTTAGATATCCGGAAACCTTCCTTTCATATATATACACATAAAATAGCTTCTTTTTCTTTGATAAGTTAAAGAGAATTATTTTCCGATGAACTTGTTGAGATACTGGGCCAGTCTAGGCCCAATTGAAGCCACCATATACTTTAATGGGCTTAGATCCCACCATTGCAACCCCACACCTGAACTACCAGCTCAACCCACTTTTACACAATGATTATCTTTGCCATTTCCTTGCAAATCAGTGACCCACCCAAAAACAACCATAGACGGTTTGATTTTACTATTTGTGATGCCAGTGGCTGATGGATGATAATTCACGATAGATAATTGATTATTATTGGTATTTTTTATAAAATTTTAATAATGATTGTTACTGTGATATAAAATAAATATTTAATATATAATTATTTTTATATATTATTTTCTTTGTCTCAAAATATAAGTAGTTTAAGATTTAATATATAATTATGTTTATATATTATTTTTTTGTCTCAAAATATAAATCGTTTAAGATTTTTACACAGGGATTAAATAAGTAATTAATTATTATAAATTATAATAAACTCAAGGATAATTTGATTAAATTATCATTTATCTCAAAATCAATATTTACAAATTATAATAAACTCAAGGATAATTTGATTAAATTATCATTTATCTCAAAATCAATATTTACTTATGAAAATATTTATTATAACTAATCTAAATAAGGGTAATATTGAAAAAATATTATTTATTGCTTCTTAAAATACTCAAAATGATTTATATTTTAAAACAAAATAATCACCAAAAAATAATTTATATTTCGAGAAAATACCGTGTAGGTGCAAGTTGAACCTAGTGTCAAATGTTAATGTAGTAATTAGAAAGGGCAAAATGGGAAGAGAGATTGATAAACGGACGATGAGGATTTATTGTGGTGGAGTTTGAATGAACTGTCATTTTCAGTTATGATAGTTGATAGACAATGTAGACTTTAGTGACCAACTACTTGGAGAAAAACAAGTATCTATTACAGTGGAAAGAATTGGCATTTTTAGTGACAGAAGAAAGTCGACAAAGACAATGAAATTTTGAGGGGGCAATACGTGTCGCCATCTACCTCTTTACAACCTAAAAATGAAAAGCCCAACTAGGCCTATATTAAGGCTTTAGTATAGAAATCCTTGCAATCTCTCTATGTTGGGCCTAAGGTGAGACAAGTCCACTAAGAACTGAACAAATACAATTAAGAAAGCCCATTTATCAAACAATAATGAAGAATCTGAAACTTCACTTACTAATGTCTAAATATGGTAAATTTTGAGGGAACATGATGACCTGGATTTTATCCATAAAAGGTGCAAAAAAAAAAAAAAAAAAAAAAAAAATTCATAATAGGTGCAAAACATAACAAAAAAAAAAATAAACGATAAGAATACAACAGATTTAAAAAAAAAAAAAAAAAAAAAAAAGAAAAAGAAAAACAGATTTAGCTTTTATCATTTGACCATTCTTTTAAGAAACCGACCTTTCCTTTTTTTTATTTCCTCTTTCATCTTTATTATTGATCGATGCACTATAGTATATGGTCCTTCCCCTTTATGTCACTCATGAGCAATAAAATTTTACTTTATAACATGAAAATGCTCCCCTTTTCTTTTACACCAACAGCATATTATAATAATTAATTAAAATTTTATTTTAATTTATCTTTTTTTTAATAAATGATGAAAAATATTAATAAAAATATATTTTTATAATGGTATCCAATCAATCCACGACCTAACAGGGAACTCCATTCAGATGATGTGAGACCTCCTTTTTCTTCCCAATTTCTTTTTGTTTTTTTTTTTTAGGTCTCACGTGAAGGTTACTACATACATTCTTATGTTGGGCAGCAAAATCAGATGAACCTAACTATAAAATAACCGGAAATTATTATTATTAATAAAATGAGAACCAACGTTTTATTTTTTTATTTTAATTTTAAAAGCATATAAATACAAAGTTGATTACGTGTTAATCTATAACTTACCTTCTTTATCTTTAAGATAGCTGCGTCTTTCCCTTTCTTGAACGACGAACGTGGGCTTAATGAAATGGACGGTGCACAAGTTGCAACTACCAACGTAATATCCCATGTGCCATAACTCTGATACTCTGATTCGCTATGGCCATTTCTAGAATACCAAATTTCAGATCGTTAATGGAAATGTTGAACTGTTGATGGATGCAAGAAAAAGTCTGTTAAGATGCTTTGTTTTTAATTAATCAGAAAAGATTTGAGAGTTCAGTTTTGAAATTGTCAACGCTACTCCACACAGTAGAAAACAAATTTCTTTGGGCGGTTGAGAGCTGAGAAGAACTCTGTGTCTCTCGGAGAAAAATAACATCGCTAGTCATTTTCAATTATTTCAACCAAAATTATTTACGAGTAGTTAACTACCAATAGGATGCATATATTTGATATTATATAGCCGTCAGACAATTAGTTTAAATTTAAAATATGATGATGGGACCCAAAACAAACAAAAGATCAATGAAACATTAGGATTGGAGCAATGCGATTGGCTAATGTTAAATATCATATGGAATAATATGTATTTTTAAATTTGATTTGATTATAATTGGCTTGAAAATGACTATTCTATGATTTTATTTTAGTCTAGTGAAAATTCACTGGCAATCAACGAAGCCATGTCGATTGAATGGCTCTTATTCTGCCACGTGTAAGAAAAACGACGAGCCCAGCTCTGCAGGGTTAGTGTAGGACCACCAACGCCTAAAAATCAATCTTTTTACTCAATTTGTGTTGCTTTCACTTATTCCCCGCACTCGAAGTCATACAGACTCGAACAACAATTTTTTTAATTTTGTTTAACAAAATACCGTGGGCCCCATACCGTTGATTACGTGTATGGCTAAGAGTCTTCTAGTTCTTATCTCACGAGACAAAGTTCGAATAACCGAGGGTATAATCAACGGTCATAATGCTCTCAACGGCTATTTCTTAAATAATATCCGACGATCTTCATTGCGTCGGCGGTTGCCGCCCTACAGTGTCCCCGGTCTTGGACTAAGGGGTAGCCGACCGCAACGGTTGTCGGTAAATTAGGAGTAATGGAGATATTTTCATTAAGAAAATGAGTAAAAAAATTTTACAAAATTATAAAAAATGAAGTAGCCGTTGCTGCCCTTTTTATATAAAAGGAGGAACCAAGTTGACGCACAGAGTCCTGAAACATAAACAGTTAAATATCTATAAAAACCCGATTTTAAGATTTGTCGCAGGTCGCAAGATCTGATTTATCATTTTCTCTCTTCGTGAGAGCGAAAACTTGTCTTGTTCAATAGCGCTATGTATTATCATCTTTAAAGATCTTTTCTTTTATATTTGGAAAAATTTTTAGCTACTTTCTCGAGAAAATATTAAAGGATTTTCCCTCTGTTATATAGAGTTATTGTTGTAAGAAAATTTCAGGGCCTCTGATCGCTTTGTTTTTCAAGATCTTTGTCCTTTCCTTCTCTATTGCATTTTTCTTGTTTATATTTGAGGATATCTCCTTCTGTTTAATTAATTTTCTCTATAGATATATTAAAAACAAACTGCAATTTCAAAACTATGGAGGCAATTTTTGTTCCATCCTCTGCCGATCAATCAATCTCTCACAAGCAAATGAAAAACCAATCAAAGAGAAACACTCGAAGTTTTGTTTCAAGATCCACTGAAAATTTGGCTCCCACAAACAACAACAATATCCATGGAAGTGGCCTTTTGTTTGCTCCTCCGCCTTCTCTTTCCTTTTCTTGCCCTCCTTCATTTTCCATTCTCTATCCACAGCAAATTCAAAGACAAACGCAGCCACCTCTCCTTCCTCTTCCGATTTCCAGACCTTATAACTCTCTCCCGTCTCGAACCCGAGACATCTCTTGCCCTCCTATTTCTAGAAAAACAAATCGAACCAGAGATCAATCGCTTACTCCTAAGAAATCTAAACAGCCAATCACCAAAAGAGAAGAGCCTAGCCAGGATTCGAAGGTGACCCGTGATAAACTATCGGCGAAGTCTTTTGTAACTGTGTCAACTGCACCATTAGGACCCGACCCGAAAGATTTACCAAAAGATATTTCTAAGGTTATATCATCATCACCATCGTATTTTTCAGTGGCAGGTAATACCATTGGAATCAAAGATTTGGAGAGTTTTTCAAGTACGGTATTTACACTATCCCCACCTCCTAGCAGTTTACCGTTGCCAAAGTTTTCTATGAGGCCAAAACTCAGTTGCACTGCAGAAGCCGCCGGAGTGGATGACGGCGCAACAGATAATCTCCGGCGACTTCTACGTCTACGGTGAATTAACATTGTGTGATTGGTAACGAAGTTGGCAGGCTTTTGGATCTTCCCTGTAAATAAAAGCATAATCAATTATTGGAGAGTGGGCTTTGTTTGGTTATGAATTTCTTACTGTAATGTCGTTTTTCCTTTTTCCTTTTGTTTTTTTGTCGTTTTTGTCTGGTTTTAGTCAGTGGAGGGAGTTTGTGATCACCGCCGCGTTTTTGAATTGGGGTGCACAAACCAAAGCTATAGTAAAGGCATAGCTGCCGTGTCTTTCTTTTTCATTTCTCTTAAAAAGAATTATAAAATGCTATTTATATCTGAATCTGTGTGTAATTTTTATTTTCCCCTCAGCCACTTTGCATATTTCCAGCAAATTGCACAAAACAAGCAACGATTTCTAAGTTCTGGTATTAACAAAGGTCCAAATTGCACTCCTTGTAACGTGAAAGTCATGAATGAATTAACAAAAACAGCCTTTATAAAAAAGAACGAAGATATTGTACAATCCACTCTCTCCAAGTGCCATTTGATTTATTTTCTACACTGAGAACATTTTCTTTGTCTAGATAAGAATATTTAAACATTTTTTAATTTTGAATTTTCAATATTTTGTAGCAATTTTCTATAGTATATCTCGACAAATAATGTGGACTATATATGTAGTAAGAACCACAAGCTAGCCCATATCTATTAACGTTCGGCCCTAGCAGGCAGTTTCATTTGCTGGACAAGAGGCCCAAGACATAGGCGCCCATTAGGCCCGTTCCTTTCAAATCTATCCAGCACTGCTCAGCTCGTAAATTTCTTTGGCCATAATTGTTGGAGCCTGGGGGGGAGACATGGAAAGAGATGGAAATTGGATGTACAGTAAACCTTCGTAACGTTTACCACACAAGGAATGAGATGCAGTGGCTCCACAAAAGGAATGACCTATTTTGTTTTGATTTTGTGGTGATGGACGACGGAGTCGCATTAATGGTAAATGCAGTTGAGAAAGCGGCTGAAGCTCATGTGCGAACTTCCCTAGCTAGTACTCTACCTAAACAGAAGGTGTTTGTCGAATGAACTGGCTCCCCACTTTCCGTCTATTGTCGATAGGGATTTAGGCCATTCCCTGTATATATATATATATATATTTTTTCCACGTTCCGTCTATTGTCTGAAGGATATTTTAGGCCACTTCCTGTAATATAGAATTATATTTTTTTTTTTTGTTTTGACGATATTATAATATAGACTATATAATTGTATACTAATTAAGTTACTGGAAGCATTCGTGAATACTTACTAATAACGCAAAATAATTTTTTTTTTTTTTTTGAAGATATATATATATATATAATTGTATTCTAATTACAGTTACTGACGCATTCGTGAATACTTACTAAGAAACGCAAAATAAGGACAGGGAAATGAATGATGGAAGCTACAAAAGCGGCTAATTGAAATTTGAAAATTATGATTTGAGAGTGTTCGACGTTAGTCCCTCGAACACCATTCCTTGACCAATCAAGCAATCTTTAAATTCAAAAGATAATTAAGGAGCCGAGTTTTTAGTTGGCCAGCTAAGTTGAAAAAGCCTCTACATTTATTGGCGGGAATGGACTGCTCATCTTCCACGGATTCTGTGTGTCTCAAACAACTGAACAAGTCTTTCTTTCTTTTCTGCTTCACTTTCGTTTTTTTGTTTCTCTTTATCTATTTTCTGCATTTTGCCAATGGAAGAGTTGGAGCATTCGTCTGATCAGGTTTTGGACCACAATTCACATCCGAAAAACATGGACCAACCGTCGTCGAGCAAAAGCTCAAGTCCAACTGTTTCGTTCTTTGGTTTATTTTTTGCTGCTGATAAAATTGACTATTTGTTGATGTTTGTGGGAAGTCTTGGGTCATGCATCCATGGTGCAGCACTCCCTGTATTTTTTATTTTTTTTGGTCGTATGATCGACTCTCTAGGGAATTTAGCTTTGGATCCTCATAAAATGTCTTCAAAGATCTCCCAGGTACAATCTCAACTCAATCCTCTACAGATATGTTGTAATATTTTAATTTCTTGTTTGCTTTATATTACTTGAAGGCCTAGCTCATTAAAAGTCACTGTTATTACATTATTACTTTTTCAAGTGTTTTTAACAGGCTCTGGTAATGGCCTAATAGGGTTATAAACGATAATAGAAAAAGCTTAGTGATTTGCTTTGCTTCATATTCCTAGCATAAATTATTGCATTTTATTTTGCATGAAAATAAAATTTTTGATATATATCTTTATTGCAGCATGCCTTGTATTTAGTGTATCTGGGGCTTGCTGTTTTTGTATCAGCATGGATGGGTATGTTTCATGATTTCAAACTCAATCTGGCAGACAAATTTTTTCAGGAAACTGTTCACCACTGTTGTTGATCTTGCATTTTTCAGGTGTTGCATTTTGGATGCAAACTGGGGAGAGACAGACTTCTCGTTTGCGTCTCAAGTATCTCCAGTCTGTGCTTAAAAAAGATATGAATTTTTTTGACACAGAAGCTGGAGACTCCAACATTATATTTCACATTTCCAGCGATGCAATACTAGTGCAAGATGCAATAGGCGACAAGGTAACTGGAAAATATCAGCTTGAATTCGTAGGGTACCAGTTTGACAAGTAACTTTCTCAAACCATTTCTTTTGTTTGTTGATGCAGACAGGCCATGCCATACGCTACCTTTCTCAATTTGTTGTTGGATTTGCCGTTGGATTTGCATCAGTATGGCAACTTACTCTCCTCACCTTGGCGGTGGTTCCATTAATTGCTGTTGCCGGAGGAGCTTATACTATAATTATGTCTACCTTATCAGAAAAAGGTGAGGCTGCTTATGCTGAAGCTGGCAAGGTTGCAGATGAGGTATATCACTTGCCTCTTGTTAAAAATTATTAGCTTTTTGTGGCTTCCTGACTGATATTGAATTACTTGCTTATACTGAAGCCAGAATTTTTATCTTTTTCATAAACCAGGTTATTTCGCAAATCCGCACTGTATACTCTTTTGTAGGAGAGGATAAAGCAATTGAAACTTACTCTAGGTATCTTAAGAAAGCGCTCAAAGTAGGGAAGAAAGGTGGGGTTGCAAAAGGAGTTGGTGTGGGGTTTACATATGGGCTATTGTTTTGTGCTTGGGCGTTGCTTCTCTGGTATGCTAGCATACTGGTCAGGCATCACGTTACAAATGGAGCAAAAGCATTCACAATGATTATTAATGTCATTTTCAGTGGATTGTAAGTGCACTTTGAGTGATATTAGCAACTAGTCCTGAGGTTTTATTACTGGTTATCCAGTCTTATGCTGATGAAAATAGGCTTTTTGTGTTTACAGTGCTCTTGGTCAAGCTACTCCAAACCTTGCTGCTATAGCTAAAGGACGAGCTGCAGCTGCCAATATCATTAGCATGATTAAAACAGACTCCAATCCTTCTAAAATTTCAGAAGATGGGGCAGAATTGCCAAAAATAGATGGGAAAATTGAGTTTTGCAATGTTTGTTTCACTTACCCTTCACGGACCGGTAAGGTCTTTGAAAATTTAAGCTTTTCCATAAGTGCAGGGAAGACCTTTGCAGTTGTTGGTCCCAGTGGCTCAGGAAAGAGCACGATTATATCTATGGTTCAACGTTTCTATGATCCTAATTCAGGTATCTATGCTATCATTAAAGAGGCTATTTCCATTTCAGGATTTGCAAGATCCAACAAGTGAAGTTCATTACTTTTGATGTTTAAAATTCATTAGGTAAAATATTATTGGATGGACATGATATTAAGGCTCTTCGCTTGAAATGGCTGAGAGAACAGATGGGATTGGTGAGTCAGGAACCAGCATTATTTGCCACAACTATAGCTGACAATATTCTGTTTGGTAAAGAAGCTGCAAGTATGAGTCAAGTTATTCAAGCTGCCGAAGCCGCTAATGCACATTCTTTTATTCAACAATTACCTGATGGCTATCATACTCAGGTGAGCCCTATCAGAGGGGAAAAGCCTAAGCAAATGAGGCTTGAGAAAAGCCTAGTTTTAAGAGGGGAAAGACATGATAGAATTTATCATTAAAGAATCGATCTTTTTGAATTTCTTTCTGATATGTTTGATGCTTCTCGAATCTAGGTGGGAGAGGGAGGAACTCAGCTTTCTGGTGGACAAAAGCAAAGAATAGCTATAGCAAGAGCAGTGCTGAGAAACCCAAGGATATTACTTTTAGATGAGGCTACAAGTGCTCTTGATGCAGAATCAGAGCTTATTGTTCAGCAGGCCCTGGATAAAATCATGTCATATCGGACTACGATCATTGTCGCTCACCGCCTATCCACTATTCGAGATGTTGATAGCATCATTGTCTTGAAGAATGGTCAAGTTGCTGAGAGTGGGAACCATTTGGACTTGATATCTAAGGGAGGAGAGTATGCAACTCTTGTGAGCTTGCAAGTGTCAGAACATCCGACACATTCAAGTTCAATGGATCATTCTGAAGCTGTCAGGAGTCCCAGCTTTCGAGAACTTTCCCATGGTCAAAATAACCAGCAGGATTTTAAATCAATCTCAAAAAGAGAGGGGCAGTCAGACCATGAAAGCATGTATTCTGCCACCCCAACAATTGGGGAACTAGTAAAATTAAATGCACCAGAGTGGCCTTATGCACTGCTTGGGTCAGTGGGTGCAATTCTGGGTGGCATGGAAGCTCCTCTGTTTGCCCTTTTGATTTCTCATGTCCTGACAGCATTTTATTCCCCTGATGTCTCTGAAATGAAACATGAGATTCGACGGGTAGCTTTTATTTTTGTTGGATTGGCTGTTGTTACCATTCCTATATATCTTCTGCAACACTACTTCTATACATTGATGGGAGAGCGTCTTACCGCTCGTGTTCGCTTATCAATGTTCACAGGTGCTTTTTCTGTTCGTTTACTCGTGTTTCACCCCTCTGGTTGCTTATCAATTGTTCAGATTTTTTTTCTTAATTTAGATTATTCTGAAACTTTTTCTTGTTTCCACTGCAGCTATACTTTCCAACGAGATTGGCTGGTTTGACTTAGATGAAAATAATACCGGCTCACTCACATCAACTTTAGCTGCTGATGCAACCTTGGTACGAAGTGCTCTAGCTGACCGTCTCTCGACGATTGTGCAGAATGTTGCACTCACAGCTACAGCATGTGTTATTGCCTTTACATTAAGTTGGCGCATTGCAGCTGTTGTTGTTGCCTCATTCCCTCTGCTTATTGGAGCTTCCATAGCAGAGGTATGTCCTTGAGATCAGATTGATGATTTACTTTAGACTGATTTAGAATGCATTGTCAACATCCTCACACTTGAAGTTCCCTCGTTTTCAAATTGCAGCTACTATTTCTCAAGGGGTTTGGAGGAGACTATCAAGCATACTCTAAAGCAACTTCTCTGGCTCGTGAAGCACTAACCAATATTCGTACTGTCGCTGCATTTGGGGCTGAAGAACGAATCTCTTTTGAGTTTGCCTCTCAACTTAACAAACCAAACAAGCAAGCACTCTTACGGGGACACATGTCGGGTTTTGGCTATGGCCTCACCCAGCTTTTTGCTTTTGGTTCCTATGCACTTGGTCTTTGGTATGCATCAGTCTTAATCACACACAAAGAATCAAATTTCGGACACATCACAAAGTCTTTCATGGTCTTGATAGTCACTGCATTGTCTGTAGCAGAAACACTTGCCCTTGCACCAGATATTGTGAAGGGTTCACAAGCACTCGAGTCAGTTTTCACTATTATCCATAGAAAAACAGCTATAGATCCTAACAATTCCACATCGAAGGTGGTGACTTATATCAATGGGGATATAGAATTCAGGAACGTGACCTTCAAGTACCCTGCCAGGCCACATATTACTATTTTTGAGCGTTTAAATCTCACAGTTCCAGCAGGCAAAAGTCTGGCTGTAGTGGGCCAAAGTGGATCAGGCAAGAGTACTATAATCTCGCTGATATTGAGATTCTACGACCCCATTTCTGGAACAGTTCTGATTGATGGATGTGACATTAAAAGCTTAAACTTGAAATCCCTAAGGCTAAAAATAGGTTTGGTTCAGCAGGAGCCAGCACTGTTCTCCACAACTATTTATGAAAACATCAAGTATGGGAATGAAAATGCCTCAGAAATGGAGATAATGAAAGCAGCCAAGGCAGCAAATGCTCATGGATTCATCAGCAGAATGCCTGAAGGCTATCAAACTCATGTGGGCAATAGGGGACTGCAGTTATCTGGGGGGCAGAAACAGAGAGTTGCAATTGCTCGAGCAATACTGAAGGACCCTTCCATTCTTCTTTTGGATGAAGCTACTAGTGCATTAGATACAACATCAGAGAAGGTGGTTCAAGAGGCCTTGGATATGCTTATGGAAGGGCGAACAACAGTTCTGGTAGCCCACAGATTATCAACCATTCGTAACGCAGATAGTATTGCTGTGCTACAAAATGGGCGGGTGGCTGAAATTGGCAGCCACATGCAGCTCATGGGAAAACCTGATAGCATTTACAGGCAACTAGTAAGCCTACAACAGGAGAAGAGCACAGAGTCATAATTAATCGTCTTCCACAACTCAAACACCGAGTAATGAGGACTCCAAGCCTAACAAAGCTTGGCTGCTATAAAAGAAGGTATGCTCCCTTTAAAATCGTGCGTTTTCTTCAAGCACTAAGTTTGTTTGCAAAGTTAATATTTTACAAGAGATATGTATACTTGGATATGCTGAAATATGAAGTGATATTGATTGCAAGATGTTGATAAATGATACTGCAATTGCTTTATTTTTGACTCATGGAGAGTGCTTCATTTTCTTTCAATTGATCAAAATGAAATGATTTCATTGTTGCCTAAAGAAAAAGGTTGGGCCAAGACTTTCTTGTATAGAAAAAGCCCAAGAAAAGGCAAAACACAATAAGCCTGCTATAATAACAATGGAAAGAAGCCCAGAGAAGAAAAGAATAAAGCCAAGACATTTAATCAATTCAATCAATCAATTTGTCTGGTTTAACAACTTATTTTTTAAAGGTTTTTTGAAAGATTTTAATGGGTTTTTTTAAGAACGTTATGATTAAGTAATCGAGGAATCTCACCTATAAGGCTATAACATCCACACACTAAAATTGATTAAGAAAGCTGTTGAGGGGTTTGGTGGGTCTAATCCTAACTCCTAGTAAGGGCAAAGCCACATGGGGCTACAAAAGTTTGGCCATGTGCTTTCTCAATTGCGCAATTAGTGGGGTTGGAATGACATTACATTCTTAATAAATTTATTTATATTGTACCAAATCCAACCTCGACTGAATTTAATATTTTTGAAGTTGCATTTGCATGGCCGATGATGTATTTTTATCTTTCTTTTCTGTTAATTATCCCATTTAAGACAAAACGAAAACAAAGAGAAGAAACACAACATGGAGCGGAGCCACGCCACGCACTGTAGATTTTTGCCTAACAATGACATGCCATTTGGATATTAGAGCAGGGCACGTCCTCTGGATTCCATTATTATTCAACAGTAATAAACAAGATTATGAAATGAAAACAGCAAAATGCCTTCCACGTTTACGTTATTATCACCAATCATTATTATTATATGGGTCAATACTCAAGACTCGAGAGAAAGAACTAACTTGATTTGGGTGTTTTGAGTCAAAAAGGAGTTTAAAACGAAGGGGCCATTCCAGCTAACCACTATGATTTTGTCTAATTAATTAGGTCATCCCAATTAAAATATAAATAGATAATTGTTTTATTTCAAAATATAAATTATTTTTTATTTTTATCATCATTTATTTCGATAATAATATAATTTATGAGAATTAATAGATTTCATGAAAAATTTTAAATGACTTAGATTTGAAAAAAGAGAGAGGGGAATGTTTTTATTTATTATTATTGAAAGCCAAGAAATGTTCGTCGGCAAGGGCAATTCGATTGTTTAAATTCTGCAGGCATTGATGCATAGAAGTTTGGAAGTGGATTGCTGAAAATGAGTAAACATTCAGTTTTCTTACATGTAAAGAGACCTGGCAATAACGGCACTTTTAATGCTTACCATTACTACTATTTATTGCCTGCACAATTCTGCCCATCTACACCATTAATGCCTTGGCCATAGCTTGTTTACATCTACTCATTGCCCAACAATTCAAAAACAAAGAAATCAACAAAACCCCTAATTAGAATTATTTTTCATAGTTCTAAAGAAGATAAATGTTGTTATTTTATGATTTTTTTTAACCCTTCACAAGTTAAATTCATTTAATTGTAATTTGGATGAAAGTTTTGTAAAATCGATTTTAACGTATTCTAATATAATTTTAAATATAATGGTCGATAAGTTTATTTTTAGTTCTCATATAAGATGGAACATTTTACTAGTCATTGAGCAATTCGGTATGTTATAAAAACATCTAAATTATGTTAAAAAAATATTGGAAGTATAGAAATATTGCAAATAAAGCACTTTTTAAGTAATTTGCAATCATGAAAATAGGATCTCAGTCAATATAAATACACATTTGAAGGGCTCATCAAAAAGTTAAATTAATGAATTGAATTGCATTGCAATGAATTTTGACTATGAAAATTGTTAAATTAATTGATTTATTTATTTTTATTAGTTACTCAAAATATTGAATTAAGAAAAAAGAATGAAAATGTGGAAATGATAATATAATCATTTGTGAGGGGTAAAAATTAAAAAGAAAATGATAAAGAAGTGGTTAGATACATAGCTGGCAGGAGTTGTCTAGGTCAGCCTAACTCTTCAACCGCAAATCCCTTTCCTTTCCATTCCCGTAGGCTCCAATCAAAACATCCTCTTCTCTTCACCATCTCTCTCTTTTTGCTCTTTCTCTTCTCGCATCGCATCGCATCGCATTAGGGTTATTAATGCTTTCAATCTGAATCTCCGTTTAGGGTTCTTGGTGGTGTCTGTCAATGTACATGTAAATACAGTTTTTTTAAAAAATCGTTGAGCTGGTGATGACCAATTATCAGTCGAAAATTGATTTCGGATATAAAGAATCAGAACAAAAAGATAGGCAACGCCAAGGGCATTGCTTTTATTGAAGAACGTTACTGATAGTTTTATTAGTAAGAGTGGGGAAAGAGATCGGGTGGCAGAAATGAGTGCCTCTAGGTTCATTAAGTGCGTCACCGTCGGCGATGGTGCCGTCGGAAAGACCTGCATGCTTATTTCCTACACCAGCAACACCTTCCCTACGGTAACCTCTCTCTCTCTCTCTCTCTCTCTCTCTCTCTCTCTCTTTATGTGGCCGTTTTGCCTCTTCTGTAATTTTTCGCTCTCTCTATTTTCATTTCTTTCCTTGAAAGATACTTCCTTTTGCTTTATGGAATAATTTATGTTAGAGCCGTGTTATTTACAGCTTCTCTTTAACGCACGCTCTCTTGGACAAAATGTTATCTTTTTCGCCAACATTGTATGTACTACAGAATTAGGTTAGACACTTGATTTGAATTTCAATTTTGGGGTTTTCAATGTATGCGGTACTTGGATCAGCTCTACTGACGCAGCTTAAGAATTCTATTTTAAGCCATTTCTTGTTCTGAGCCACAATTTGGTGTTTGTGGAGCTTACTTTACATGAAAAGAAATTCAGATAATAGGTTTAGACATGGGATTCAGACAATAGCTTACTTTGCTACCAGAAACTATACATGTAAAGATTTTCTTCTAGAGTACCATTCTGTGTGTGTGTGTGCGCTTTAATATTTTGGCATAATCTTAAATTTCTTCGCTTCACAATACGTATCCGTGCTGAAAATGCTTGTCACACCGCATGAGGTTTATGGACTATAGCTTTAGCGTTAAAGGGGTGGGTAGAGTTGGTACAGGCTGTAGCTTCATACTTCAGCAACGGAGCAAGAGGGAAGGGAGTCATTGATGCGCTTTGGCCACTCTAATATATTCATTTTGTAATCTGGATTTGCACTGTGCCTTGTAATTATCTACATTGGTGATTATTCATCATGATTTCTCAGGAAGGTCTTGACAGAGAAATCCTTCTCGATGCTTTATCAGGCCTTGGATCCTGTGCATTCTGTTTATGCGTTCAATATCAAATTTCTTTATATGGTTCAAAGTCTAGTGGCCAATTGGTCAATTCTCATAATACTGTGCAGTGTGTTGCTTAATGGGATTTTGTTTGCTTTTGATTCATTGGACATATGCTGGCTTAAGTCATTCATTAATTTCTTTTTTCTGTTGTGAATGAAAACAGGATTATGTACCAACTGTTTTTGACAATTTCAGTGCAAATGTGGTTGTGGATGGGAGCACTGTTAATCTAGGATTATGGGATACTGCTGGTAACTTTGAAATTGTTTTTAAAAATTATTCCCATTCATTTATCTGGGAGTTAATTCCTGCTCCAGTATTTATCTATTGAATTTGAACAGGTCAGGAGGATTACAATCGATTAAGACCTTTAAGCTATCGAGGTGCAGATGTCTTTATTCTGGCATTCTCTTTAATCAGCAAGGCCAGCTATGAAAATGTTGCCAAAAAGGTTATGTCATATCAATGGTTTGTTTTCCGAGATAATGACTTCTGTAAAACAGTTTACTTACAATTTTTAGGTGCTGATAAATTGTGTGCTTGCTTTCCGTTTCAGTGGATTCCTGAACTGAAGCATTATGCACCTGGAGTTCCGGTTATTCTTGTTGGAACGAAACTTGGTAATGTTACAGTAGCTATCGACCATCTTCATGGCATTGATATATCTGAATTGTAGTTAGTCTCGTGTTGTGGAGTGAAGCTGGTTTAAGATTTTATCATAGAACTTAAAACAAAAAATAACTTGGACTAGGGCCTGAAGTGGTAAAAAATTATTAGTATCCTGACATGCATGGAAGGCTTGATGTATAATAGTTAATATATAAAGAGAATAGACAAAAGCAATTCACATAATTGATCCCCAATTAGTTTGGGTTGGGGCTTAGGTGAATTGAGTAACATCAATTTGCAATATATGTTGGTTGGACGGTCCTAGTTTAGCTGAATCTTTGCCTGAAGTTTTTACCTTGACCTGTTATCAATAGGCATGCCTCAGTTCTTACAATGGATGACAAGTAGGTCCTTTCTTTTGATGAATTATTGTAATTCTATTTAACCGCACTTCACGATGGCAACCTTGTTGTAATCTTCCAAGGTTTTCATATTATACTTCTTCAACCAGTTGGTTAATTCATGTGAATTAATAATGAATATTCTTTATCACTAATCTTGTTTCTCTTTTTGAACTTCTTAATAGTACCGAGTTTTGTTATGTTAATATTTTTAATTAGTCCACCATTGTTGCAATCATGGTTTTTGTTTTGCTAGTCCATCTTTCAAACTTGAGTTCATTCTGCATGAACACTTGTGCATGTGCTTATGCACAATCACTTCATTAGTGCTTGAGAACATAGGTTGTAAAGATTTATTATTTTGGCATTGAGCTCACTACTCTTACCATGCATTAGGTTGAAATGTGAGTTTTGAACATTAGGTTGTAATGGTTTTTATTTTGGCATTCAGCTCAATACTTCTACCTTGCATTTTATTGAAAGAATTTGAAATGTGAGCTTTGAAATCGACATTGCGTAAGTTTTCTTCAATGGTTCCTACAGGCGGAAAAACCGTCATCTGAAATTAATAAGTCTGGTTTCATTTCAACAATTTGACTAAATCAAATCCCTTGTTTATTTAATGAAAGATGAAGGTAGATTGTATTAATTTTTGGCACCAGTTATTCATTATATTTTAGTATTATCTAATTACGTCTTTGTGCTATAGCTGATTGTTGTCAATCAGTGAAAACCACTTGCGCAATCCCTCTCCCCATTCCGATCGAGGACTGTAACTTTTGTTCAAGTAATGTTTTCTAGAATTGAATTTTTCTTGCATTTCCAATTTTTCCATTTTCAGATCTTCGGGATGATGACCAGTTCTTCATTGACCATCCTGGTGCAGCGCCCATTACTACTGCGCAGGTAAAGATCACAACTTCACACCTCTTCTCCCCACTCTCCCTTCATCTTCCCTTGTAAAATTAATTGTTCTTGATTTTGCTTTTACCTGAAGGGAGAGGAACTGAGAAAACTTATTGGAGCTCCTGCCTACATTGAGTGTAGCTCAAAAACACAGCAGGTATGTATACTTATCGTTTTTGTGTACCACATTATTTATCTAGATTTCTACTATTAATTGAATGAATGCTGTGTTACAATGGCAGAATGTGAAGGGAGTTTTTGATGCAGCCATCAAGGTGGTTCTGCAGCCCCCAAAGAAAAATAAGAAGAAGAAAAAGGGGCAAACTTCTTGCTCCATATTGTGATGATCTAGGAATGATTAGGTTTGACAGAGAGAAGATGATGGCTTTTCAGCTTTCAGCCACTTAGTGCAGTAATTCATCACTGTGTTGCCTTTTTTTCAATTTCATGCTCTCACAAGGAAGCAGGAGACCTTGTTGTATAGTCTTAACCGACATTCTAGGGAATTTCTTTTAAAAGCATCAGATCGTTTGTTTCTTTAATCTCATGATCTGTAATTTTACTGCATTTCTTCTCAAACATGTTTTCATGTCTAAATTTGTTTCATGCATTAACCAAATTTGTGGCAGGACTCTACTTACTAGAGAACTGTTCCTGGCATGAATGTGAATGCACCTGAAATTACTGTCGTTTGTTTGACTCTTTACGAGGAAAGTTGGCATCGCTCTCATTCAATTGAAAATTCGTTGAATTATTTTGGAATATTGTCGTACTAACATGTTCTGCTTGGGCCAAGGGTTTTGACGCTGACTTTAGTCTTCAAAAAACCCTTAATCAACGTTCATTTTACAAAAGGGAAAGTTAGGAGAGGCCTTGAGCAAGGGAGTGAAAGAACTAAATAGTACAAAATTTTAATTTATTTATAAATATTAAATTTATAATTAAATATTAAATTTATAATAACTTAATTTTTCAGGCTACAATACTCGACCCAGACCTGTTAAGATGAACAAGAGTAGCTAATAGCAAATTTAAGAAGTTTAAACATAGTAATATTCCTCAATCAGATGACTTTTCATTGAATAATCCAATAACATTCAACAGAAAAAATCCAACCTACACGTACAACAGAGATGGAGGAAAGCCAACTGCAAGAAATACAGTGACTACATGCTAGTGGACAAACTACTATACATCATGACCTACAATGCTCAACCAATTATTCTCTGAGAAATTTCTACCAATGATAATGCACAAAGATTCTGGAAGAATCAGAATGAAATGGAAGTAAAACTCAAATTCAAATCCAAATTGGAGAAATGATGCTTTTAGATGCCTTTTCTTTTTGTAAATTTTCCTATATTCACAAATCAACAGGGTGGAAAATTAAATGCTATGCTACATTAGAAAGATTATACAAAGGCAAACCCACTCGGCAATTCCTTCCATCAAACCCCAAACAACTTGTTCGATTGAGTTCTCACAGTTTACACACCTTGTTTTAGACATGTTGCAAGTCAAACCTTGATAGGCTCGTATTTCTCAGCCATAGCACCGCCTTTTTGTTTCTGGAATTGAATGTACCTAAGAGTGCATGCAAAGAAAGCTTTTGCAGCAGGATCTGGAGTTGAAGAGTCACTTTGCATTTCAGTATTGATTAGTTCTACCAACCCCTGGATTACAGCACTAGTTACCTGTGGGTTCCCTTTCTCAAAGAAGTACAGGTACCTGAATCATATTCCCAGGAACCATGGTTAACGTATGAACTAATGGTGTTGTATAATGAGGTTCAATTTACAGGCGCAAACTCACTTGTTCAATATTTCAACAAACAGTATAACTGGTCCATTGCTACCGCTTGTAACGTTGGCCATTTGCTGGGCAGCATTTGCAATTCTCAAGGCACGCTTTAGGCATAGCAGGACCCTGAAATAGGAATGGTAGCAAGATTTATTAAAGGATAAAGTACATGCATAAAACTACAAATTATTTGAGTGAAACCCATTATTTTTTTTTTATCAAAAAGGAGAGAACCTTTCTCCATCCTTGATTCCGTCCTGATCATCAACCCAAAATAGATGAGAACATGCATAAACTGCTCTGCATTGATCGGGTTTCTTCAGGAGTTTTGCAGAATACTGACACAGATAGGAGGAGGAAGAAGTGATAAAAAAAAAAAAAAAAAAAAAAAAGAATATAAGAGAGAGAAAGAGAGAGATTGCGATAACAAAGGAATAATCAAATGAGCACGAATTATTACTCCAGTGGCCTTGTGTGTTAAGGTATCCCTATTCTCAACACCAAAAACGTTCATCCTCTGAAGAGTACCAATAATTAGATGTATTGCAGTCACTTGCGCTTTGGAATCCTGAAAGCAAGACGTATTTTGATGCATTCCAATCAGAAGTTGTAAATGCGATTTACAGCTTAAATGATTACAAAGATCAGCAACAGGATAATTCATGGTGATTACCACAATTTCTTCTTCATATAATACAAATGCCTGAGTGAAAAATTCATAAGCCACTGGCTCAAGATCACAGTCATTTGCAGCCTGATTATCAAAGAGCAAAACAAGCAAACCTCAAACTAAATGGTAATATCCTATGAAACCATAAACGAAGAAGAAAATTTTCCATGCATATGGTGTGCAGGGGCAAGCATGCTGGTGGTACGAACACCTGCGGATGTGTAGTCTGCTGCATAGCAGGAAAGCAGACAGATGGGTGAGCAAACATGCAATACTAGCTTCTGTGAAATGTGTGCACCTTGCAAGCAGGAAGGCTATATGCATGAATGCTCGCACATGGGTGAGGAAATGTGTGTGCATGAGTGGGTGGATTCTTTGTCTGCAAGTATGTACAAAGTGGCAGGCGACAATAATCAGTTTTTCTGAAACACCAAGTGAAAAACATGACATACCTCAGCACATTGCAAATACAACCTTAAAGCAAGCTCAGGTGATGGAACAGATGAAAGAGCCTCAATTGTCTGATAAAAGTACATACTATCATTATAAGCATTGGGAAGTAAACCAAACACAGGCATTATTCGAAGCAAAGAAACATTAAGCTATTTAGGATGAGGTCTTTATTCAAAATATAAAACTTGGGCAATCCTCCTCATGAGCTAGCTTTTGGGGATGGAGTTAGGCCCGGTCCATTTTATAATAAATATTCATTTTTTTGGTCATGAAACCTAAGTAAAAATTTGTTCACAAGCAAGATCTACTAATTCTGACTCCAGATGCATCCAGAGATTGCCACAACACATTTGAGCTGGAAAAAGAAAACACTTAAATAAAGTTACCTGATTCAGGAGTTGAAAAATTTTCTTAGGTGTCGCAGGCAGTTCTTCTCCCACTACCTCTCCATCCTGACTATTCAATTGCCTGATCAGCTGCAACCGACAAACAGAAATGCAAAAAATATTTAGTTTCAATATTATTAAATGCAACTCCGATTGAACCTACAAGAAGCAATCTTTCAACTGCTTTTGAGTTTCGATATAATCACAGAAAATGGAAGGCACTGGTGAAAACTTTTTAAGACAAAATTATGTAATGTGCCAAATTTTATGTGTGCATACATGCAACATAACATAGAACATAAATAATCGGGCAGCCCATGACCAAGTTCACGTGACAAGTTAGATTTTTCCCAGCAATGTTATTACAAATGAACTCTAGCCTTAGCATTTTAGCCTCATCTAAACCCTAAGAGTTGCAGTCCACAAATTGATTAGTTAGTACCATAATCCAGATAAAAAAAGAGACTACTTATGGAAACTAATATTTCTCTAAAAACGCATGTGCATAACTCAATGTTGTTCGGGCAACTAACTTGCTGCAGAAATAAAATAGTCATCATTAAAGGAAGCTGTTTTGTTCACAATAGGGATCATGATTAGAACATGATAACAGTAAGCCTGAGAGGCACATAGACCAAAATAATAATTTTTCTGCCTCAAAAGGCTTGGATTGTAGGAAGCTGTCAGAGGAGCTCCCATTTTAGCTATAACAGGTTGACCCGAATGGTAGCTCCCATTGGCATGTCTAATCTGTTAAACTAGTTTGAGGCATTATTAGCTTTTTAGAGTAACATAAAACTAATGCCATCTGCTAACAAGCATAAAGTTATAATGAAGAGAAAAATCCACCAAATCTTTGTGAAAGAAAGAATACCCTGAGTGAAGCAAATATTAGAGGAGGAACTGTAAAGGGTAACCGTTTTGGTCCTCCAACCATTACATGCTTTCTCACAGTACAAATAATCTGCAATGTCAATTCAGAAGAAAGGAAAGGATTAGTTCCTTGAGAGGTGACAAACGATCTTCAAAAAATAAATATATGCACACACACGTGCACAAGAAAAAAAAAAAAAGAAAAAAAAACTATGCACTAGAGCAAAATAAGAGACATAGCCTTCAAAAATAGATGGTAAGTTTCACAAGAACACTGTACATAGCTGTATCACTAGAAGGTTTGACTCCAAGCTCCAAATAACTGGATCTGATGATTTTACTCTACTGTGTTCTCAAATTTTTAGTTATTTTGAATAGAATGAGACGAGCATAGCTTCATTATTAAATGAAGCTAGGGCAAAGGATAAGTAACAAAATCTCATTTTTTTGCCAAATTCAAGTAAATTTACACCAGTGAAGTAATTTACAAGCTGAAAACATCTAAACCAATAACCTACCTTCAGCATTTCCTCTGGATCATCATTATAAAGCATGTGTATAAGGCGAGCAACAGAATTTTGTTCTTCTTTGAAATCCTCCTCATCAAGCTATTGATACAATAAAAATGGGGTTACAACATTGAAGTATTTGGAGGGAAAGAGATTAAATTCCTGGAAAATAATAACAAAGACCTAAACAACAATATCATGAAGTAGGCTGCCAAGAGAATCATAATCATTCAAAGCTTCAGGATCTCAGTATTCACCTCATCTACAGTAGTTCCATTCAAATCCTTAATGAGCCCTTTTATCAATTCGAATAACACCTCAACCTAAATAGAGAAAACAACATCCTTACCAAATTTTCAAGAACCAAGTTAAATATTTAAATGAGAAGAGTGGATCTACCTTATCAGCACTAGAAATACAAGTATTATTTTTCATAATGCTTTGGATGATAACCATAGCCATGAGTTTGTTAGTTTCATTATCGAGGCGGTCCATGACGCGAGGATAATTTGAGAGCGTTAAGGCAGTCACAACATTATTGTATCTCTCTACTGGAGCACTCAGAAGTGCAACAATTTGTTTTATAGCTCTACTGTCTTCAAGCTTTGGCAGCTCAGAAAGCTTTTTAACACATGCTCCCTAAGTAATTTTGATATCGACAGTTATAGTTAGTGGAAAGCTGTTCATCACAATTCAACGTGCATAATACATGGAAGCTCAAATTGGATGCTTCATTTATGGAGAAAAGTATACCAGCACTTGATCCACATAATCCAGCCGATCAGGGTGCACACGAAGTGTAAATGTAAGTAGTGATAAATACAAAGTAGTAGCTCCAAAAATTGGCATGTCAACCTGAGCTTCTATCACCTGCCATTGAATTGGTGTCAACATAATAAAAGACAATTCCACATTTTCAAAATCAGACCTATCAACAGAAAACAATCATCAAATTATTTAAGTGTTACTGTAGTGTGTAGCAATATTTCACTGTTACATCTTCACAAATCACAAGCTAGTAGTAATACTAGCCATTGGCAAAGCAAAAGGTCAACTTGCATTAGCATTGGGCTATTTTACAATCCATAAAGAATCTTTAAAGAAAACAAAATGGAACTGAAAGAGGAACACTTCATAAAAATCTACAGAATTATAAATCTTAGGTCAGGATATTAAATTCTCAGTTAAATTTTAAATGATAAATAAAAAATTGAACAATAGATGCATTTGAGTTGCATAAACACCATCAAAGAAATGGATAACACTTGGAAGGATTGCATTTTTCTTAGAAAGAATTTACCTTTCCAATGGCACTGCTCAATTTAGTGAAAGCTTCTACTTGTAGGAACTCGGGTAAAACCTGACAAAAAGAACCAAAATGGATAAAAGTGTGAAAACACAACTTGTAAGGACAGTATAAAGATGACTCACATCTTCACTGGAAGCAGCATAATTCGATAATCTCTCCATCAATTGCGATAGCACTGTCTTGACATCAACTGTTGGCTGAAAGCCCAAACAGTTTAGACAAACAGGTCAATAAGTTTACTTCATTCAAATCATTTCATGCTCCCACAAGACACACTAAAAAAAGATGTAAAAGGAGGAGAAAGCAACATTTATATTTGTAAAACCACATGGTTAGCAACCCAATAAAAAAATTCCTCACATAAAAATATATAGGAGGAGAAAGCAACATTTATATTTGTAAAAACACATACTTAGCAACTCAAGAAAAAATTCCTTTCATAAATGATTGTCATGAAAATGCATTAATTGCTACAAACATATGGCTCATAAAAAAAATTTATCATAATGAAGTTTCTTTATTTGTATCTTTTATAACAATTCACTCAACTATAAATATTGAGGGTCATACTCATAGATCAGATAGTTTTGGCCCTTGAAGTAGAAAACAACCTACCTGAAGCTGCGGGCAGGCCCCCAGTAATGTGTCAAGGGTCTGCAAGTGGTATTCATCTGGAAAGACCTGGATTATGCAATCCATCAAATAATATTGTGCAAGATCATCTTTACAGTTGACAACCTGTGTCAGCAAATTTAGTTGCACATTTGAAGCATCATTAGATACTGCATTATTATACTGTATTTAATAAGGGAAAAGCAAACTAATGAGACAAGACCTACATAATCAGACCTGCTCTAAAACTCGGGGAAGTACAGTGTCTCTGTAAACTTCGAGGTCCACACCTTCTATCTGGCTAAGAACATGGAGATTTTTCCCTACCTAACAAAAGGACACATGTAATTCCCATAGAAGTACACTAATAACATTTCTTCAAGGATAGATAGATTATAAATATTACAAGATCACGCAGCTCGCTTCTTTCCTTTTCCTGCTTCTCTCTTACTCGAGCAGGTCCCTGCAGACCAGAAAGCTCAATTGAAGGCCTCAACTCAGGATCAGCAAAGAGTATGAATGATCACAAGCACCAAAAACACCTGCATGGCCAAAAATCATGCTCTCATGATTGTTTTACCTGTATGGCATGCAAGTACCATGGTGCTATGCATGACAAGAACATAGTAGCATGCAAGAGTTTACAGATACACAACAAACCTGATACTGCATTCGAACCCACAGTTTATTCATCTCAATAAAATTTTGCAGCACAAATTCTACAGCATCCATGGCCGTGTTAGTATCTCTGCAGAAACATATAATCAAGTTTAAACACATAGCTTACAAAAGAAGAGTCAAATGCATATCCTATCATGGATTATTTACAGCATTAAATACCATAAATTCCACGAGCAAAACAAAAATTCAACATCTGTATGACATTAAAGCAGATGCATCAATTACCACTGACATATGACATGATAGATTTAGCACTCTCAAAAGTGGAGATTATGACGTTGCAGTTAATATGCTTTACTTGCCTAATCATATTAGGATTCCAAGTGAAAGTGTAAGTGAAGGATAATAATCAAACAAGTTAAGGATCTAACCTAATGCAGTACATGGGTGAAATTTTTAAGCCCATTTTCATAATAATCTTGCCTAAATCACATTTCAGATCTGCCCGGCCGTTATTGATCTCTGGGAAGTTCATTACTTAAAGATACTTTCTATATTGAACATAGTGAAATCAAGGCACAAAACAAACAACTTGGAGAAGTCGATTCCTGATTTTAACAACTCCACTTGAGGAGGAAAAGAATAAAACTAGTCAACAAATATTCTTACCCTGCATATTCGGAACCAAAGTTGGGCAATTTATCTCTAGTAACTTGAGCAAGGTAACTTCTAAGAAACAATCCACGCATTGGATGTTGGACACCCCGACACATTTCCACAAGATCCCCAAGCACATCCTTAGCCGAGACCTCCTTCGATTTGATGTATACTGATCCTACCGTACATAGCAAATACCTGGAAATTAAATATCTCACTGTCGGTCTCTATTTCCGGAAAATCTATAGATTGGAAAAAAAGGCAGAAGAAGCTTAAAACTTTTGGAGGAGGATCGCTATGTCACTCACAGTCTAGGCAATATATTGCCAGCATGCTGCACAAGTTCATATAAATCAACAACTGAAACTCCATGTCTGCTCTCGTCCGTGAAGAATATCTCCAACTTCCTCAATTCATCGAAAGCTCTCACATCTAAAATCCATAAAAAAACAATTAATTTCTCCAGTCAAAAAACAAATCCATACTAACATCGATCAAACTGAAGTAAGGATTTACAGAGTTCATAGTATTTATGAGGTGGGAGTTTCGAAGTTCGGAGCTCGGATAACATCAGAGCAGAGTATTTAAGAACTTCTCTGAGGTTGTTGGCATCCTGAAGCCAAGAATTGGACAGAAAGTTAGGCTTTTAGATTAGTAAATAGGAGAAATGCCAAAATTGTGATTAATTGATTAATACCAAAGCGCGATGCATGTAAAAGGCGTTTTGTTGAACTCCGGCAATTCCTTCCGCAAGCCATTTCTCTTCGTCTTCTATTCCGTCTAAGATCATATTTTCCGTTGGTTCAACAGCTCACAGTACCAGAGCTACGACGAGGTAATAAACCGTTTCGTCTAACCGGAGACGCCAACAGTGAGAGAGCAAAGCATAAGTAGTTTAAATGGATTGTTTTTTCATAAATAAATGTTTTTTTTCTTAAAATTTTACTAACTTTAACGCAATTGGAATTTTATTTTTTTGGCAATTAAGTGTTCTAATAAATTTAAATTAACTACTGTTTTTGTTTCGTAATATTTGTCACATTTATAATTTCACATTCCTTAATAAAATCATTAAATGTGTCTAATTTCAATAAATTATCGAGTAAATCGATTATATTACCATTAATTTAATATTAATTAATTTAAAAAATTATTAAATTAAAGTAATAATTATTTGTCATACAAATAGTAAATATGGAAAAAAATATTATTACTGTTTAAAATTACAAATGTGACAAATATTTTAGAACAATCTTTCTTTTCAAAGTGAAAATAGAGGCAGTAATTATAAAAAAATTTATTAGTGTTCTAATATTTATTTTTATTTATTTATTATTTGTAAATCAACACTTTAAAATTTCTAATATACCCAAAAAGAACCTTCCAGGCTTGCAGGTGGCAACGTATGTCCACACTCGTAACAACAGTTAAGAAGCAAGCAAGAAATGTTTGTCTGCTCTCAGGCTTTCTCAAGATTCCTTATCCTATGGTACATTCCATGTGAACGTAAGAAAACTGACGACAAACGGATATTATCGCCGTTTATTATTCTTTACAACGAACGACGGGGCGTACGAGCTACAACCAGACGACCAATCGGATAAGTATTTCTTCCTCTCTTTAATTTACTATAATTAATTACAATTAGCCTCCAATTGTTTCAAAGAATTCCACTATTACAGGTTTACAGCCGCCATCACGACAATAAAGAAATTTTATATTTAAGCATTTCGTATTATATTCATATTTACTGTACAAAGAAACTAAATTCAAAGATAATTACTTGACATTGACTTCAATTAAAAAAAAAAAAAAAGAATTGCGTGCAGACTATATTCATACTTTTCTTTTACGTTTTTACTGTTGTTTGCTTCTAATCTTCTCTGCTAGTCTTAATAGGTGTACTGAAACTGCTTGTAATGTTCGTTGGGGATTAGATGAAAACGAAGAATATGATTAGTCAAACATTCAAAAATAATCCAAGTATGTGTCCTCTTATCTAACATATCTTTGTTTATTTTTTTCAATTCGACATGTTTAATCATATGGCTTCTGTTTCTTTATATTATATAGTATAAATAAATATTTATTGGTTTTGTTTATATATTTTGAGCTTGTCCAGTTCTGTAAGTTTCAGGTAGTTCTTTTTTATTAAATTTAGTAAGAAATCATGAGTTGCGTTGATGGCTTTGAATTGGTATAGGTAATTGTCGTAGCCCATGTGTTCTGGAATTATTAGAATAATATTTCTGTTAGGTTCATGTGAATCTTAGAGATATATTAGAGATACATATGTTCAAATTTTATGGAAGGAGAAGAAACAAGGAATTCCATTAAAGAGAGAGAAACTTAACTTTTATAGTTTCCAATTTCAAGATCATCTTCTGCTAAGAAGGTCCTAAGGAGGGTTAAGAAGCATTGTGCAACTATGGCAATAGGTTTGGAAACAAACCTGGAAAACTCTTTGAGGTAAATATTGAGAGAGAGAAACTTTAAACTGAAAATTGCATTTGATTTTTGAAATGTCTTTCTAATTGTAAAAAGAAATATCTTGCAGGGAACAGATTTTGCTGGCTAGATGCATTGCTGGTAAAAAACCAGAAATGATCATTGTTCACGCTGTCCATGAGAGGAAAATCGTGTTCAAAAGGAGGAGAAATTCTTTTATAGAAATTTCCTCATTTCACTCAGATTTTTCAGGCTTCAAATTGAATTCAGGGCCTAATTTTTATCTTGACGAGAACCATGCTTGTTCAAGAGAAACTGAAGCAGAAACCAAATCCAGTACAGTTCAAAGCTTTGAAGATGTTTCAAGAAATGATAATACTGGAAATGGATACGATGAGAAAGTTCCTCTGAAATCGATTTCTATAATAAGAAGACAGCTTCCAGAATCAATTCTTGGTTGGCCTCTTCGTCCAAGAACCATTTCTCTGGGTGAGGATGCTTCGCGAAGGTCAAAAGCAAGAAGTATGTCTATTACAGAATGGGTCATGAATCTACCTACTCGATCATGTGACACAATAATGCAAAAACAAAGTGATTCAAATTCCGAGGAAACCAATATAACCTTGGATCTTAAAACAGAAGATTATATTGTAAATGATGGGCAAAATAGTTTCCAAGTGATTAATTCCTATGGAAATGAATCAGTCGACAGAAGCAGCAATAGAGAAGATGAAGAGTCAGGTCTCATGCAGGAAATACTTTCAGAAGAATCAACACAATTAAGACTTGGTTGGCCTCTCCTCCGGGTAAAGACTTCAGCAACTTCAGATTCTTTGGGAGAATCTGAGGCTAGCAAAATGCGCATTGCTAATTGTCAATCAACAGAAGCTACTCCAAAATCCCCTATAGATTTGCCTTTCAAAGAAGTGCAATCTTCTCCTGAAAAACAAATACGTTTGGCAGCACCAAGGGAGCAGCCAATGAAGGAGGAGCTTGTCCTCAAATTGAAGTCATCTGGCTGCAAGCAATTTAGATATGAGGAGCTCAAGAGAGCAACTCATAAATTCTCCACAGGTCTTTCTTGAGCCTTTGGATAGTGTTTTTTCATTTTCTTGGTTGAGTTTTATTCACCCAATTTCAGTTTTTCTGCAGAAAACTTGATTGGAGAGGGAGGATGTAGCGATGTATATAAAGGACGCCTTGGCTTAGGCAAGCTAGTGGCAGTAAAGGTTCTAAAACAATACAAAGAAGCATGGAATGACTTCTTCTTGGAAGTAGACATAATGTCCTCATTAAAGCACAAGCACATTACACATTTGATCGGTGTATGCATCGACGATAACCATCTAATTTTGGTCTATGATTTCTTGTCCAAAGGGACCTTAGAGGAAAGGTTACAAGGTGATTTTCTGCAACTATTAGTGTTGCTTCTTTAGAACAGATGATAAACGTTCTCATACATTAACTGTGACACATGCAGGTCAAAGTGAGAAGTCTATATTGCCATGGAAAGTGAGATTCAAAGTGGCAATTGCAGTTGCTGAGGCTCTACATTACCTGCATAGTTCTTGCTTGGTTATTCACAGAGATGTGAAGTCCTCTAACATTTTGCTGTCCAGTGACTTTCAGCCACAGGTACCATTTTGGAAAAGTTCCTGCATTTGAAAAAAACTCGAGGCATATTATATTTTACTTTTCAACTGTCACCATGGCTCTTGAAGTTGAAACTTCGACTTAAAAAAAGTTTAAAAGAACAGTCATAAATAGCTAGCTGCAGAAAATTGACCCATTTAAACTCCCAGAAACACTAACGAACTCCGAATTTCATAAGAACTAAAGTCACGTTATCATTTTTATTTCTGTTTTGCAGCTATCCGATTTTGGCTGTGCTACCTGGAATCTCAAAGCTGCAGGATACACTATTAGCAATGATATTGTTGGAACTTTTGGGTATATAGCTCCAGAATATTTTATGCATGGAAGGGTCAGTGACAAAACTGATATATACTCCTTTGGTATAGTTCTTCTTGAATTGTTAACAGGAAAGAAGCCAATCAGTTCCAACAGTTCAAAAGGACAGGAAAGCTTGGTCAAGTGGGTAAGCATTTTGTACTACATTCTTACACTGCTTCATGATGTTAGTGAATATAGATGTGCACATTCTCTAAGAAAAATTCTTGTAATAATGCAGGCAATGCCATTACTAGAGAGTGGGAATTTAGAAGCATTAGTGGATCCAAAGTTAGGCGAAGAATTTGACATTGCTCAAATGGAAAGAACGGTTCTAGCAGCAACCCTATGCATCAAACAGTTGCCAAGATTACGCCCAAAAGCAAGCCAGGTACTGTGATTTGATTTTAATGTTGATTAGGTTTTATTGTGGTTGCTGTTCGGTTTTGAGCTAAAATAAATAATTTTCCCTTGTATTGTCACTGCTCTAGATATTAAAGCTGTTAAGGGAAGAGAAAATAGAAGAATGGATGAATTACTATGTTAATGATCTACCAGAGTCAAGTTATGAGGAATTTGATGACATTCACCCTGCAATTGTTAACAGGCCAAGCTCAGATTTGTCAGTTCTGGTTTCGGATGATGATGCTTCTTCACTAAATATTCTTGGTGATACAAAATCAGTAACAAGTATAGAACAAAGCCAACGTTTTAGATTGAAGGACTACTTGAAAGTCCGACAAGATTAATCATCATTTTGATTTTTTCTTAATATTTGTTTCAAGGAAACCAACAAGTGAACAAGATTAAATTCGTTGATTGTAAATAGTATAGTTTTCGTCGAAGAGTTACAAAAACTCAAGAAGTGAGTAAAGCTGGACTCTGCTCTATCTGCTTCTACAATCATGAATACGCATTCTTCATATGCCAAGTGTGATTTTGCATCCCCTGCTTCAACAAACAAAAAATGATTTACTGGTTTTTTTTTTTTTTTTTTTTTTTTTTGTTTTTGCATCCCCTGCTTCAAACAAAACAAAAAAATGATTTACTGGTTTTTTTTTTTTTTTTTTTTTTTTTGTTTGAGAAATTACAATTGGAATTTTTGTTAACCAGAGACCATTTCTAAAATTATTTCTGTTTTCTTTTTAGATTTTTGATATGCTTACTTTTTTAGTTAGTTAGAAATGTAAAATTCATACAACCAAAAACCATTCATTTTCTTGAAAGAAATAACTTAAAAATTGTTAATAAAAGATTAAAAGGTCTTTAAAAAACTATTTGAGGCTTTGAATATATATTTTTTCTTTTGGTTACCATTTCTTGTTAAACTCCAAATTATTTTCAGACTTAATCCCGTAGGTTTTTTTTTTTTTTTTTTTTTGTTTGAGATATTACATGGAATTTTTGTTAACCAGAGACCATTTCTAAAATTATTTCTGTTTTCTTTTAGATTTTGATATGCTTACTTTTTTTAGTTAGTTAGAAATGTAAAATCATACATCATTTCTTGAAAGAAATAACTTAAAAATTGTTAATAAATTAAAAGGTTTAAAAAACTATTGAGGCTTTGAATATATATTTTTTCTTTTTGGTTACCATTTCTTGTAAACTCAAATTAAAATTTTCACTTAATCCGTATCACTCGATGCATTGACCAACTGACTTAAACTATAAACATAATATTCACATCAATGTCTACAAATACCTTACAAAAAGAGCTACGATATCAGACTACTTAACATTTATAAAAAAAATAAAAGAAACAGAACATCTTTGCCATCTTCGCCATCTTTCCAAGAGGGAAATTAGATCAAGATCCCCTCCAAAAGCCCTGCGGGTACACACGTTCACGCATGTGAGCCTAACATGTATATAAACTATTAAGAAAAATGTTCACTTTTTGATCCTCCGGTCTTCTGAATCAAGAGGGGCCACTGTTGATTGATTATGATGACTCCTTGGCCAGAAGGTTTCTCCATTTATCTTTGAGATCAGATGGACTTCGGCTTGCATCAAAAACATGTCTGCCAAATTCCAAAATTTTCCGCCAAGGAAGATTTTTGTTCACTTTACTTGAGAATTTTTGCACTCCTTCCTGCCACAAGATTATCCAAGCAATCAGGGTATCAAATTTTGGGTATTTTTATTAATTCAAGATTCCAAATTTCAAAATTGTCATTAATTCAAGATTCCAAATTTCAAAATTGTCTATTAAATACAAATTAAATAGCCAATTAAACAACAACGAAAATGCCTCTATTCCCAGAAACGTAAAAGGCCAATTAAAAGAGATATGGAAAGAGTTCTCCAGCTTTAATTTTACGTAATTTGAGACCAATTTAGTTGTATAATGGACTTGATACAGTTCATGAAACCAATAACTTTAAATTTAGTTTGGCAATCCCCTCAATAATTGAGAGGATGTTATTCAACTCATCATTTCTAGAATGGTTTGTGTTTTCAAAGTATGCAGAAGAAAAGGCATGCAACTTAAATCAAGTTACTCAATCTAAGTCACATCCACACACAAAGATAATCTAAAAAGTAGTAAAGTTATGTCCCTTCATACCCTTAGCATTTCCTCCTCTTCAGGTCTCCAAAGCAGCCTTTTGCGCTTTTCATGAGAAAATGGCATTTTTGTGCTGCAAAGTAGTTAACGGAAACCCTTAACTTACAAGTACAAACACTCACAGTGCAACTAAACTCTTCCACTCAGTGATGATTTACAAGAAAAAGGAGAACTAATTTCTTGAAATGGAATAACGAAACTTACAGTTTCTTAGCAGACACTTGGGTTGGCCTTGACCTATCCAAAAGATTGACTTTCTTGTTTTGGTTCCTAGCTTCTGCTGCAGGATGAGTTGTTGGTTTCTTACAAGACCTTCCAAAAAAACCGACTTTATCGTTCTGGTTCCTAGTTTCTTCCGCTGAAGTAGTGTATGCATGAGATGATGGCTTCTTTGGTGAAACAGCATACTTAATCTTTGCTTTCTTAACTGATCGCTTTCGGACTGCAAGAGTTTCAGTATCTGAATCAAAAGTTCCAGCATCATCCAATGCTGCTTCTTTACTAGTATATGACACATTGATTTCAGGTGCGTCCTCATGTATTTTCTCTTTCTCCTCTTCCATGGCTTGCTTTTCTTTAGGTGATTTCATAGTTTTAGAATTTGCCCCTGCTGATTCATGAAGCAAAACGCCGTCAAAAGTAGTCTCCTTTTCTACACACTGCACAGTTAAAGATTCTGTTTGATCTTCATCTTCAAAAACTCCCTCATCTTGCTTATTGTCAACTTTTTGATTATTTGTTTCTTGCTCCATCATTTTTAAACTATCATGGCAGTGATTCTCCCCCATCAAATTTAACAATTTTGTTTCCTCTTCATCTTCAAACACTCCCTCTCCGTTTTCTTGCTTCTTGTCAACTTGTTGAGCATTTGTATCTTGCTCCATCCTTTTATTAACACGGCAGCGATTCTCCCCCATCACATTTAAGGACTCCATTTGCTCTTCATCTTCAAGAACTCCCTCTCCCTCATCTTGCTCCTTGTCAACTTGTTGATCATTTGTTTCTTGCTCCATCCTTTTATTATCACAGCAGCGATTCTCCCCCATAACTGCAATGATATTTGAATCCTTCCCTTTTGCTCTCCCATCATTCTGATTCTCTTTATTACCACCAACCTCAGTTAAATTGTGGCCCAAAAAACTCTCCAGAACTTTCTTAGTCAGCAGAACTTTTTTCTTCAATTTTCCAGTTATAGACAGTTGAAGCTTAAACCAACAATAAGGGCAATAAAAGTTTCCCTCTTCATCATACCTAGGCTTAGACACAATACACTCTTTATGAAGAGCAATTGGACAACCAATCTCAGAACAAAGCAGCAATTGGCCACCCATATTACACATTAAGCAACTCTTTTCCTCTAACCAATCATTATCACTGGAATCCTCACCCACATTACTTTCTCCACCATCACCATCACTTTGTCTTAATTTGTCAATTGACATCCTACCTGTATTATCTTCATCATTTGAACTATAATCCTAAGCAAAAATAAATTAACATTTACATTACTAACTAAAGCTAAATAATAACCACAGTTTAATGTTCTTCCAATTGAAACCAGCAAATAATGAATTGCAACAGACACAGAGAGAGAATACCGGAATAGGGGAAGGAGGTGGACTTGTTGTGGTGGCTGAAGATGATCTGTGAGATGATTTGCAGTAGCGAGGCTTCGCGCTCCGGGTTTTAATTCTCATTCTTTGATCGGATATTTTAGGGTTTTCTGGCTCCTTGTTGGTAGAGGGGAATCTTTCAAATTGAGAGAACAGATATGAATACGGTGAACGAATAGTATGGCCTACCTCGAACCTTGGGCGATGTGTTCGCGCTCTCTCTGATATGAACCCATTGAAAAAATAAAATTTCATATTAGGATCTAGGAAGTGTTAGGATTAACAAAACAAAAATGCTAATAATATTTAATAATTACTATATTATCTCTCAGGTAATTATAGAATAAATTTAATTATTTTTTTAATGAATTAAATTACCCTTTTATTAATTTTTTTACATAGTTATTACTCTCATATCAAAAAATGGTCATTAATATTTTTCTTAATTTTATTTCCTCAAAACAAATATTATTCTTTTAAATAATTCGATTAATATAAACATATATTCGATGATTTGCTTAACCAAATTCTTCTCATCCCAGCACTATGAAGAACAATAGGTCTGCAAGAATATCTCAAAGATGTGCGGGCCCTGTTATATTATCGTGGAAAGTGGAAACCGATTCGCAAGAAGCTTCTTCGGCAAGTCAGCGCTATGTTATATAACTTTGCAATTTCTCTTCCTATGGCTCAGTCTCCCAAGATTTTCAGTAATGTCCTTGCTGTGATCTTATTTATTAAGAAAAATTACCATTCCGTAACAGAAAAAGAGACAACACATCAGTTATCCTAAACTTAGCAAATCGCCAGCCAACTAAATAAATAGACAACACATTAGTTACTAGCCGAAAAACAACGCATTTAAACAATTCCAGAAAATATTAAAGTACACTAGTAAAATCATGAAAAGTAACAGTCAGTTAATAATTTTTTCCAAACAGATCTGTTAAAACAACTGTTGCTGTACACGATTGCAAGTCATCCCTGCCAATCTCATCATCCTGCGCTACCTATCTGCCAATCTAATATCCGTCAGGTGGCACCAATCAATAAAAAAAAAAATTGGCCACCCTAAACAACTAACTCTGCAAAATTTCCTGACAAATGGTTAGCATTAAAATGGAACTGTATACGGTAACGCATAGACCTCAGCTTCTGGCAAGTAGCGAGCACATGGCCAAAGAGTAGAACTTCCATGACATGGTTCATCGCATTGAGACTTTAATCTTTTGTGTTTTTCTTGCTTTTTCGTACCAAAAAGCCATTCTTGATCACCAATATTGTTTTGATCACATCCAAGTGGCAGTGGAACCCAATCCTCAAGCAAATCTTTGTATAGTGATTCTGCATTCTGTACCCCCCTCACACGTGAGGAAACCCCAGAAGCAGTTATGACACGCTTACGAACAGAATCCTTGTCGGCTTCCAAATTAGCACAAGGTGTGACAATTGGATCCGAAATATTGATGCCTGTCTTTGAATTGATAGAGCTAGGCTGTTCTTTATCAGGAACAGTAATAATTTGCTTCTGTGCGAGAAAATCTGACTTCCTAGAAGACGAACGCACATGCTCTCCACTAGTAGATGCATCAACCTCTCTATGCTTTTGTAATGGCAGCCTAATCCGAATAATATTCCCTGTTGAGTAAATATAGGATTAAGAAGTTACAAAACATTAAGCAATCGAGATTCATCCCATCATAACATCGCATGAATGAAAAAGCAAACTCACCAGAACTTTTGGTGATATTATATGACAAGTCATCCCTTTTTCTCTTGTCGCTGCTCCGAGTACTGTCAGGCGAGTAGCAAAGGCTCTGTGAACATACAGGTTGATCATGTTCTTCTGTCAAACCACTCCTTTCAGCTTCCTCCTCTTGCACCTTTGAAGGTAGCCTTTTATCTTGTTGGTTACATCTATCCGCAATATAAGTGTCTTCCTTGTTTTCCTTTCTACTCTTCTTCCTTTCTTTCTTCTCTTTCTTCCTCTCTTTCTTCTCCTTTTTCCTTTTATCATGTTCTGTTCTGGCCTTCCCCCATTCACTTTGGATCTTTTGTATACCAAAATAAGAATTTTAGATAGAGCGCCAGGGAAGACCAAAGAATATGAATGACCAAAGTAACCAAATTACGGAATCCTCATAGCAACATGAAATTCATTTGCCAATCTATTCCCTACAATGAAATAAATTCCTATAACCAAATGGCTCTTTTTATCAGAATATCACTTAAAAACCATTTAGCAAATGCTAGAACTCCAGGAGATTGCATGTGGCATAAGCTATCCAAATATATAGCAATCAGCCAATCACTTACTAAATGTCTAGTATACCCCTCAACAAACAAAATAATATCTAAACAAAAGATTTGAAAAAATTCCGAAGACCTTCTGGTTATATTAATTCAAATAGCAAATGATCTTTCAGTAGCAAAGATAAGCTGTTACTTCAAAAATGATACAAAATAGCAAAACATACTGATAAACTTTAGGAAAGAAAAAAAAAAAAAAAAAAAAACCTACAATGAAAAATAATTCCTTTTTTAAACCAAATGGCTCTTTTTATCAGAAATCACTTAAAAAACCATTTAGCAAAATGTAGAAACTTCCCCAGGAGATTGGCTGTGGCATAAAGCTATCCAGTAATATTATAGCAATCCAGCCAATCACTTACTGAAATGTCTAGTTAAAAATTGTATTACCCCTCAACCAAACAAAACATAATATCTAAACAAAAGATTTTGAAAAAATTCCGAAGACCTTCTGGTTATATTAATTAAATAGCAAAATGATCTTTCTTCAGTAGCAAAGATAAAGACTTTACTCAAAAATGATACAAAAAAAAAAAAAAAAAAACCAACCAAAATAGCCACAAAAAACATACTGAAACTTTTAGGAAAGAAAAAAAAAAAAAAAAAAAAAAAACAACTCAAGGGAAAATAAAAATAATGCAAAAATTCACTTGGGACTATGCAAAATTTTTATTAAAAAAAATTAAAATTAGAATGCCTTCCATGTATGAACATTTAGTCTAATGAAATAACAATTATAACTGTTTTAAAAAAAAAAAAAAAAAAAAAACAACTCAAGGAAATAAAAATATGCAAAATCACTTGGACTATGCAAAATAGAATGCCTCCATATGAACTATTTAGTCTAATGAAATAACAATTGATAACTGTTAAGTGATCTCAAGTTAATTAGTTAACCCAGGGACACAGAAAAATAGAACAAACATATCTGCAATAATTCTTTTAGTTTCAGAGATATGAATCACGAAATAACAACTCCTACAGAACTTTCAAACACCTCTCAAATGGTTCATTATTCTATGATCAATTGTAGAAGTTATTATACAAATAACAGCAATAACAGCAATCCATTTGTCAAATTCCAAAAAATTTCACGACAAAACCAAAATAACCCAAATATCATACAATCCCCAATTGTATATCTAATTGATCATACCAATGAGAATATATATAGCAACAAAAGCACTATCTATCCGTCCGTAGAAGCAATTACTCAAGAATGCCTAAATTGATACACCCAATTGATTCCCAAGAACATATATAGAGTCCGTCTTTAATATAGGAATATACAAATTCCATCATTGAAGACTTAAATACAAGAACAGGGTTTCTAGTTGAAAAATACCCCAAATATTCTACGAAATAGTCCACAAACAAATACCTCCGATCTTCAAACAAATCTTATCTCCTCAATTGCATATCAAATCGGACCACATCATTAAGTCTATAAAACACTCAAAATATAATTTATCTGTCCGCAAAAGGAATTAATAAAGATTAGCCACGCTGTCCAACCTTATACATCCAATTGATTCCCAACAAAGTATGTATAGAGTCCTTAGTTAATCCAACAATATACAAATATACACAAATACCATCATCCAACCATCGACTTACTTTACAAGATTCGTTTGTATTTCACGGCAGATCATGCCCCAAATATTCCACAAAATAGTCACAAACAACTTCCTTTGATCCCCCAACAAATCTTATTATCCAGTCTCCACTTGTATATCTAGTTAGACCACATCGATCGAAGTATAAATCGCCCAAAATTATAAACACCAAGTCCAAACCTAAAGAGTTATTAAAGATTATAAACACCAAGTCCAAACCTAATTGATTCCCAATAAAACAAAGAAAGCCCTTCGTTAATACAGGAATACACATATAACAAATTCCATCATTCAAGCATATGTACAAGCATCGACTTAAATACAAGAACAGGGATTATTTATTTATTCTTTAAATCAAGATTTAAAGCAGTTGAGCATAACGCAAAAACCAAATTTGCACTATATTTGCTCAACGAACCTTAATTGATTCGCTCACGGCCTCACCACGCGCTCCATTCCTCAGATACCCCAGAGGCGGGTAAGGAAAGCACCGTGACATTGCTCAATCTCGTCTGTAACGAACTATATGACTCAAAATTCTTCGAAGAATTATAAGGGGGTTCTACCTAAAAACAGAGGATCGTTAGGGTTTTTACGCAAAAATTGTTTTAAACCCCAAAATCTTCAATAAATGAAGCAACTAGAAATTCGCGTCTGCAAAACCCTCGAACTAGGGTTTTCTACGATTCGTAGATCCCCTGAAGTTTGACGACAGAATACTTAACCTAAACAAGGGAGGGTTATATATAGCGAGCGAGGGAGCCTTGATTGACCTAAGTCGGTTAGTTTTTTATTATTTTCTTTTATTAGCTGGCTGCGAAAAAGATCTGTTACCCTTGTTACCGATAATGCCCTTATCTTCTTTCATTTTTTCCAATATTAATTCTTCTCTTTATAGTAATTGGGATATTCTATGGGGACTTTATCGCACATTCGAGTTTAGAAAGGACCAGTAATCCAACTCAAAGAGGCAAAAAGGGTATCCAATTGAGAATGGACACGTAGTACCGACTTGAGATTCCATCTAGTCTGCGTTACACCGAATTAAAATATTGCTTTCGTTTCGTGGAAATAACTAGAGACGCGTGTAGAAACTAATACCCCAAATTTATCGAGGTCCTGCTTAAACCCTGGTTGAAGACCAGAAGAAGGCCAAAACCCTAGTCAATTACGGACCTGTAAGTCAGTGTAATCAAACACATTTGTTTCTCCCCAACTGAAAAGCCCTGTAAAAACTTCCAGAAAACGAGAGTGAGAAAGCAACCCTGATTTGGTCACGATGAGGAGAGTTAATGGACTAGCCACTCTGACCCGGACAATTGCCGGTGCCTCGGCTCAGAACCGAGTGGTTCAAGCTGCAAGGATGAGCACATGCTCAAGTTGGAATTTCTCGGAGAGAATTGCTGATCGGTTTGGAATATCAAGTCCCTTTGTTGCGCGCGGTGTGGCAGGGACTATGTTCTTCTCTGCCGCGGCATCATCTCTGGCGCAAGAGGTCCAAGCCAAGGAACTACCACCGGCCGAGAAGTTTCTGCCCAAGGATGTCGTTCTCTACCAGTACGAAGCTTGTCCTTTCTGCAACAAGATTAAAGGTACTTTCACTGTCAACTATAAAGCTTTTGCTTTTATTGAAAATTTTTTGACAGAATAATGAATTTCTCTTTCTTATTGCTTTATTAGCGAAATTAATTAAGAATAAGATGTTGAATAATAATAAAAATAAAAAGCTTCGATCTTGAACTGCTCAAATTTGTAATGTTTTTCAACTGTTCGTGGCAGCATCTTCAACTCATTTTCCCTTTAGAAACAGGGCAGATGAGTTTCTATCATGCATGATTAGTCTTCTAATGTTCTTTGTTGATCAGATGCACACAGGATAAGGTTTTTTAAATGGAAATTTGTGTTTTGAGCGGAACTGTTATTCGGGGAAAATTCTCTCGTAGAAGCAATTTCGTGAAAAAAATGCTTAGAGACGTTTATTTGTGAAGCTAATTGGGAAGGCATTGCATCGTTTTCCATATTATTCTGATTAATTGTTAAGGAGATAGTTATACTTCCTAGTAAACGCTTAAAAGGTTTTATCTTGCAAAAATTTTCATGGACTCATTTTCTATTCAAGCCATAGCAGGGCTTGGTGTCAGTTGCTTTTAGTTGAAGTTAGATTGTTTGTCTTACCTTCTTTAACTTCAAATCTGGTCGAATTTTTTCCCCTTCTCTCAGCATTCTTGGATTATAACAATATTCCATACAAAGTTGTGGAAGTCAACCCTATCAGTAAAAAGGAAATCAAGTGGTCTGATTACAAGAAGGTTCCTATACTAACTGTTGATGGAGAACAGATGGTTGATTCTTCAGGTATTTTTGCTCAATATGTGTCTGGACAGCTGGTGTTTTTATGATTTTACTGATTGATGATCAATTTATATGCTATTTATTGTCATTGTTCATGAAATTTACTTGTTTTATGGCACAGACATAATCAACAAGTTGTTCCAAAGGATTCATCCAGATAAGTCTATTTCGGATGATGATGAAGAAAGCAAGTGGCGTGGGTAGGATATCATTTTAATTCCTCAAGATCTCCATGGTGTCAATTCATTCATGTAAATCAGTTATTTTTTACTGGCAATGGATTAAGTGGAAAACAAGTTATTGCCTTTGTTTGAATTTTGTGAGATCGCAGTGTTCTTAGTTTCCATTCAATGGCATGACTTTGCTTTTGTCAATAGTTTTTTCAACTGCTAATGCAAGCATTCCTAATGTAGGTGGGTGGATAATCACTTAGTGCATGTTTTATCACCAAACATTTACCGAACCACTTCTGAGGCTCTTGAATCATTTGACTATATCACTACCCATGGTAAGATAATTAGGCTAATGGTTCTACTTGATATTTTGCATAAGCAATGCTATATTTTCAACAACAGGTTTTTTGCTTCTTGAAACTTGTTATGTTATATGCTTGACATGTCTGTAGAAAATTTTTTTCCAAACCAATTATTACTGAAAGATTCTAAGCATCTCACTCATCCAACCGTTCTAATTGTTCTTGATAATCCCCTGTAAATCAGGCAATTTCAGCTTCACAGAGAGGTTAGTAGCTAAGTATGCTGGAGCTGCAGCAATGTATTTTGTGTCAAAGAAACTAAAAAAGAGACATAACATCACAGACGAGCGTGCAGCCTTGTATGATGCGGCAGAAACATGGGTTGATGCCTTGAAGGGTCGAGATTATTTAGGTCTGTATTTCTGTAACAAAATTTTTAGTTTTCCTTTTGTTCATGACTGCTAACTTTAGCAATGCAATTTCATCTTAATAGGTGGCTCAAAACCTAATTTAGCTGATCTTGCTGTGTTTGGCGTTCTAAGGCCCATCCGATACCTGAAATCTGGTAAAGATATGGTGGAGCACACTCGCATTGGTGAATGGTACTCTCGTATGGAACATGCAGTTGGGGTACCCACCAGAGTTAAGGCTTGAAAAGTTTGGTGATTTTGTTGTTTGAGGCAACATTGCTTACAACGGATTAATTTTCAACATGGAAAGGGAACTGTAAATCTTGAACTCAGTTATGTTTTTATCATATGTGAATAATCTCATCATTCTTGAGACTGTTGTCATCCCCCCTCTCATCCCGGAAAAAAATTTGATTGAGAAAATTGCTAAACATTTTCCCCTTTTTCAGTTAAAAAAAAAAACAGAAAAAGAATCTATTGTGATAAAGGTCCTATTTGGAAATTCTTGCTGATCCAGTAGTTATTACATATTCGTCCATGTTAGAGGTTTTATGATGTATTTCTAAATTTTTATGATCTATTCCCTTCTATCTGTCAATAATCTATAATGATGTATTTCTAATTTTTCATGATCCTTCTATCCATTTATAATTTATAATATGGGACCATATACATGGTCAAACGCCGTTCTATTAAGTTATGAATTGATAAAAAATATCAGTAAGTATTTTAATTTTATTGGTTGAAAAAAATAAAAATTATCTACTTTTAATTGGTCGTGTTAATTTTCTATTTGAATTTAAATTCTACTGGATAAAATAAAAAAATATATAATATATGTTATATATAATATGCATATATAAAATATGGTAATACCCATTGATTTCACATTTTTTATAATTGAAATGGGAAGTTTTGAAATTGAAATTATGTAATATAATATTAAATAAGGTATATGACTGTGTATATGAATATATAGATTAAATATGGTAATATATACATATTATACAGTAATATAATATATACATATCATATATTATATGGTAATATAATGATAATATACATTATAATATGTACATATTATATATTAATATATTATAATACGGTAATACTATGTAATGCATACTAAATAAGATATGTTATATATGGTAAGAATATTTTTAAGAATTTTAATTTTATTGGTTGGAAAAATAAATCTAATTTATTTTTAATTGGTTATATTATACAATATAAAATACATATTAAATATGGTACGAATATAATATATTTAATTACTATTTTAATAATCTTTAAGAACCCGATACACCATCACCTACTCATCGACTCATAGTACTATATACATCCTATCTCTACTGTAACTATCAACCGAAGACACCGTATCCTGCTCCTCTCATAGTATATCAGATTATATAGCACACTACGTATAATGGTAGAATAATTTTTAAGGTAATTTTAATTTATGTTGGGAAAAAAAAATCTAATTTATTTTAATTTTATTATATTATACAATTATAAAATACATATTATATGGTACGAATATAATATTATTAAATTACTATTTTAGATTAATCTTAATTAATAGCTTTATAATTATTTTATAAGTAATTTTATTATTTTTCAAAAAAAATTAAATGAAAATTTATTTATTTATTAACTTATATTATAAGCATTTTATTGTTTGAATAAACAATGTTTATTAAAAAATATATTATAAGATTTATTGTTTGATATAAAACAATGAAAAAATTCCAAAATATTTATTCCAATTATAATTTATGGATTAAAATCTTAAAACATGTATAGAACAAATAATAATCAATTGTATAGAACAACTAAATCAAATATTCCGTAACCATAAACTCAATTTTTGAGAAAAAAATTATTCTAGTACGGATAAAAAATTAAAATAAGAAAAAGTTAATCCTCATATAATTGCCCAGCAATGAAACAGACGTGGAGGGGCCATTCTCAAACATTTGCAGCAGTTTCCAATACAATAAAACTACTTGTCGCGACTTAAAGATTGAAACAAAAACGCAACAAAAATTGTAAATGTAATGACTTAAAGTGGACATTGGTTTGGCTGGAATCCAATATCCGTACGTGATCATCTTTCTATTTTGCCTTGGGCCGATCAATCTTTCAGTTCCATTCTTATTATTAATGAAAACGTTTGCTTTTACAGCTACACAGCGTTTAGGTAACTGTAAACAAAGAAAAGCCGACTCTGTGCACTAAATAGCAATACATTCTTCTACTCACTGGTTAAAATTGGAAGCTCAGTGTTTCCTTTTCTAAAATCTCTGTTCTTGTACTCACTGGTTAAAAATATGCTCTCTCACCCTCTTTATAATTCAAATTAGAAAACTAAATAGTGGATTTTGAATTATTCATTCAAACAGTTAAGAGAGGAAAAGAAAGCTGGTAAAAGATTAAAAAAAATAACAGAAATGAAGGAGCAACAACAGGTTCAAAAATGGTTATCAGAGCTTGCTAATTGCGAGATCTTGGTGGGTACACAGGACAAAAATGGTGTACTAATTCCTCTGCAATGGAAACTTTTGTCGTTTTATTAGAGATAAAACAATTAACGTACTAGCTAGCTATAGCAGATGAAATACAGAGATAATTAATTATTTCAAAGGAGAAAAAATAATAATAGTAAAAATAAAAAAGAAATGCTATTCTTCAGTCTTTCCCGATGACCAAACTGACAATTACCCCACTCTGATTCTTCTCGCTAAAAACGTCTGACTCTTTCGCGTCCTATAAGAGTGAATCTCTCCACCAACACCACCTCTTTCTCTCTATCTGACCCGATACTTCTGTGACTATCTGTGTCACAAAATCTGCATGTGTACGTTGTCGAATAGCGCCTCTCTCATTAATGCATTTTTGGGGCTTTGAAGCCTTTTGGGATTTTGACAAAATCATCTTTTTTTTTCTTTGTAACTATCATCACTTCTTAATCTCATTTTTTTGGGGGTGTTTTCCATTTTTAGTCCCTTAATTACATCAATACCAATTAATATTATCCATTAAATCTGTTATATTAATTAATTAATTATAATTAAAGATTTTGTCAGTTTCTCCGCTCTCTCTTTCTCTCTCTTTGCCTATATATAATATAATCTGAATGGTCTCTTTCAGTTAAACCAGAAAGAAACCAAAGGCAAGCAACAAAGAAGGCAAAGGTTATGCCTTTAAAGAGAGAGAAAAGGTCATGCATCTCTTCTGATATAACCACATGAAACCCTAGCTTTAAACCTACCCTCATTTTCGTATCCGTTGTGGTTTCTTCTTGCTATTATTATATCTATTTATTATTAATAGCAGGGACATGATATATGTGAATAGAAGGGGACGTTTTGGTTTTTATTTTCTTCTCATCAGTTTCTGGCACTGAGTATTATTATGGCTGTTCAAGCACAGTTGTACCCTGAAACTTTCTGTCTTCCTCTCTCTTCTGGGTTGCAGGATTATTGGATGGTTAATAATCCTGTTTCTGGGTTTGAACCTGATTGTTGTTTTTCTTTTCAACAATCTCAGCAGCAAAATCTTTTTCTTCAACAACAGAGCTCTCAGAACTTTGGTTTTGATAATAATAGAGCGACAGGCACAGGGGTTTCTTCTTCTTCTTCACAATCAACTTGTGATAGTTTTATCTCTATGGCTCTAGATGCTCGTCATCTTGAAATGCAAAGGCGAGAGGTCGATTGCATTCTTCAAGTGCAGGTATTGTTGTTTATTAATTTCTTTTCAAGTTATTCAGTTCAATTAATTCTTGGAATTTCTTTTTTGAAAAATGTATTTAATCTCATAATTAATAAATGCAGAACGTCCATAATAATATTATTCAGAAAGCTACGTTCTGGCAAGAAACTAAGAAACAACATGACTGGAAGTCGGCAAAAAAGTGTGGAATCTAAGCCCATCAGTGGAGTGAGTCAAAAAGAATGAGGACTGGGCACATACAAAGTATACGAAAAATAAAAACAACTAATTGGCCACGCGTCAAAAAAGAAGAGGACTTGGCACAAGCAACAAAGAAAACAATGGAGCTTGAAGCTTGTTTAAGAAAAGCACAAGCAGAGAGAGAGACATGGCAAAGACAGGCAAGAGAAAATGAAGCAATGGTAATAGATCTAAGCAACACGCTTGAACAAGTAAGAGAGAGACTAGTGTTGGAAAACAATATTGGCCAAGATACAGAGTCCTTCTGCTGTGGGTCATGCGATAGAGAAAAAGAAGAAGAAGAAGAAGATAGTTCAAAAAAGATGGCTTGTAAAGGGTGCAATTCTAGGGCCTCGTGCGTTCTCTTCCTTCCCTGCAGGCATCTCTGCTCGTGCAAGTTTTGTGAAGCTTTTTTCTCCTCTTGTCCCGTATGTCAATCTGTCAAGGAAGGAAGCATGGAAGTATTTTGGGTTTAAACAATTAGTAATTACTGTCATTATGCTGGGTTTCTTTTCTTTTTTTTCTGAACAGTATCAGGAAATCAATGGTTGTTTTTAGGTTTACGAGGTTAATTATATTTTGCCTGATTTAGCTTTAAAAAAAGGCAATTTTGAACCATATAGATATATCTATTTTGATTTGGTTGTTTTGAGCTCACAAGAAATGCCAGACGGCCAGCTTTAGCCGTAACAATCTACTGCGTTTTGACTGACTGAAAAGATTTTGAAAGTTAATTTTTGGCAGCAAAAGAATTGAACTGTCACCGCCATTATTATCATATTTTGCTTATTTCAATGAACCTTTTTTTATCCCCAAATTAATTAACCATCACTGCATCGATCCAACTCAAGAAAATGACTACCCATTTGCTCTTTTAACTTTGTTTTCGCAAATTTCAATACTAGAACTAGAAAACCAACAACAATGGAGGATTTGGTACATAGTGTACAAATAGGCTAGCATCAAAGGCTGCAAAAGTTGATTTTGATGTTAGTTGTTATTATGTTACGTATCGTGGGGTCCATAATGTGAGATGGGTGGGCCACACAATATATTTTAAAAAAAAAAAAAAAAAAGGAAAAGGAGAGTTTTGGATATTGAGATCCCGTGCATTGAATACCGTGTGGAGTTGATCGGTACAGTGTGAGTGTGATCTGCTCTCTGCTCCATTCAAGGAGAGACCAAAAAGGTCTTTGAATACAGGCTCTGTTTGGTTTTGCTTTGTATGGGGTCATAAGGATCCTTTTCTATACACGTGGAAATTAAAAAAAAAATTAAAAATTTCCAAACTTTACGATTTTTCTAAAAGGACAGTACTCATCTGCAACTGATAAATAGATGGTTCTAAACAGGATTTTTTATTATTATTACTGTTCTATCTCTATTTCTCGAATGAATGAATAGTCGTATGTCATTTATATTATTTGTTAGCTATCAATATCTGTAAAATTTTACTGCTTTATTATAATTTTATTGATATATAAAATGATATTTTATGTATTTTATGTTATTAAAATTTAAATATGTTAATGTAGATTAGGAATAATTTCAAGCATTATAAGTGAAACTAAGCCGAAAAGAAATGCTAATTGATTTGTCATTTAAGTTTTTGGGCCAGAATTACCTTCTACAATCCAGATTCATCTGAAAGCCCATGAATGACGGCCCAATGTACGTATATGGCACGCAAGAGGGCCCATTCGAACGCATATAGCACGGAAGACGCGATTTGTTCTTCTTCAATTGGAAACCGTTGCTTGCTTTCCAAATCAAAAATAAATAAATAAATAAATAAATAAATAAAACGGGGCATTTGGGCAATGCTATCGTACATATGCAGCGCATCATTGTAAAGCACTTAAGCACACAAATTAATTTACACATGTCCATTCCAATAATCCTGCATAAAATGTCAAGTGATTTTAGAATATATAATTTATTTTAGACAAATGTATTTAAATTTATGATGTTTATAACGTTCAAAAAAATATTTTCTGATCAAAATATTTTCTGAATTTATACTAGACTTGTCCAATTGATTAATAAAGTATCATTTTCTTTTTTAAAAAAAATTCTATATTTTAATTGACCATACAATTGGTCATTTTAATATGTTTTATATTTCGTAATCAAATTTTAAAATATGAAGTTTTTATTATTCAAAATAGTTTCATAGTTTTATAAATCATTAATACTTTTAGTTTTTAATTAATTTTAATTTTATAAAATAAATTTTTAGAAATTAAAATTTAAATAATAAAAAAGTCTAAGTTTTACCGTTTAGAATGCTACGTGTCGCACCGACAAAGTTCAAGCACCTTAATATTCCGTGTTGGAAATCACACGTAAGACGGTTTCCAATAATTCTTCGCGTAATCGTTCACTCCTGATTTACCGATTCTTCGTCCACCGTCCCTGCTTCTCAAAGCTGAAGGGAGCCATTACTGATTGCCTTCGATCTCTTTCTGTGAAAGGAAATTGAGAACGATCAGAAACAGCTATGCAGCAAGGAGATTATAATTCATATTACCAGTATTCTCACCTTCAAAACCCTAACCCTGTTCCTAACCCCAGTTCCAATCCTAATCCAAGTCCAACTTTAATCGATCACCACCAGAGCTCATACGCATCAGCACCACCATTCTCCGCCAGCTACGCTCCCTCCGATTACTCAGTTTATCCCCCTAATTATACTCCCTATCCTCAAAATCCTGATACTGTTCCTCCCCCTCCCACCGCTCCCTCATACACCCCGCCTCCTCCGCCAGCGTCAGCAACGACGGCAGCCTTGAAGCCTAATAGTCTGCAATCTTCCTTCAACCCGCCACCACCACCTCAGCAACCGTCTTATCCTCCTTATGATTCGCATGGGTCCTATCAGCCTCTGACCACTCAGCAATCTTATTATCCACCGTATGATCAGAATCCGACGGCCTCCAGTTACGTACCTCCTCCACCTCCTCCTTCAATTGCACCAAATCCTAACCCTAGTACCAATCCACCATATTCCTCATCGTACACTGCCCCGCCTTATAATCCTATAGGATCTTCGGTGCCACCTGCATATGATAATCCATATGAGAGTTCTCTAAAGTTTGACCACAGCGTTGGTTATTTTGATGATAAGTATGGAGGTTATAGTCGCAGCGGATCCGATTTGGGGTCGGATCTATATGGGAAGCGAGCAGAGAACAGGTACGATCTGGGCCGAGAAGATGCATATGGTGATGGCGTTTATGCTTATGAAGGAAGCAAGGTGGAGCCATACGGAGCCAGGGGCACTGCACCGAGATCATCAACGTGGGCCGGGTTTGATGATTATGGGAGAGCGATTAGCTTCCCTTCTGGGAAGGACTCGTCAGTTGGTTCAGCTTCTGCTAAGATTGTTCGAGCGGTACCAAAGGCTGAGACGCAGCAGGACGTCAAGAGTGGGGTCCAAAAGTTCAGGGTTAAGCTGTTGGCTGAAAGCGGAGGCCAGAGCACCATGGATGTGCTTTGCCAGGTACGGCATTTCTTCTTCCTTTAATTTTGGTAGTTTTGGTTTTATTCGCACAATCATTACATTCCTAGTCATATTTCTGATTTTGTAAACACAGTTTTGTTGATTTATGGTTTTTGTTAATAACTTGATTGTAATTCGTTTCTGTTCCTTTGCTTTACTTAAGAGTAGAGTGTTGGATTTGGATTATGTTTATGTGACAACATATGCAATTAGGTATGAATAACATATCAGGAACTGACTGTTCAGGTTAGAAAAGCTGCTTTCAATGAACTTTCTTCCCGTTACATAAATTGATAAATGCGATAAGCTGCTGAGTAAATTGCAACTCGTGCTGTAAGTTTTTCCATTAATAGTGCCATTTACATTTTGGAACCAATTCTTTTGCAACTTCTACAGAATTTATATTGGGAATAATACTTCATATTTTTTTATGTCGAATACCTTGTGGATATATGGAGGCTTAGTCCATAAAAGAAATGGATTCCTATCATTCCTTAAGTCTTATCTGTCTTGGTGTTGATTACATTAGATTTTTTTTTTTTTTTTTTTTTTGTGCGAATAAGCCTGGGTCTTGAGTAGAATTGCAAACTCGTGCTTGTAAGTTTTTTCCATTAAATGAGTGGCGCCATTTTAACATTTTTGGAACGGAATTCTTTTGCAAACTTCTACAGAATTTATATTGGGTAAATACTTCATATTTTTTTTATGTTCCGAAGTACCTTTGTGGATTATAATGGAAGGCCTTAGTCCCCATAAAAGAAAAGGGTGGATTCCTATCATTGCCTTAAGTTTAATCTGTCCTTGGGTGTTGATTACATTAGATTTTTTTTTTTTTTTTTTTTTTTTATCTGATCACAACATGTGGAAATATTGGTGAAATTGAGAGGTAGATGTCACGTGTGAAAAGAAAAGTACTTGATGATTGTGGGCATTTTAGTCTATATATTGTTTTATTTCTTTGGTTGTGAATTGCCTCCAAGTTTTGCGCCTGTGATGGAATTTCCCGGTTATATAAAATGACACAATTAACTTTTTGGAATTAAAATGAACAATTTTATGGTCCATTTATCACAACTTTGCAATTATGACTTAACCCATAAAATTTTACGGAATTTATTTGTTTCTTGAGAGGTGTGTTATGGCGCTGCTTGACTTAGGGTAGTTTTACTGCTATTTACGGTGTTTTTATTTAGTTATTCAGTTTTTTATCATGTTATTTTCAGTTTCTTTGTTAGTGGCTATTAGTGGGTTTCGTTTTCTTTGTAGTGGCTAATTAGTGGGGTTGGTTAAACTTATTGGTAATGGGTAATTATTAGTGGGGTAGGTGGGGTATTTTTAGTTGTTTACATTTAAGTTGTTTAAAAGGGCTTGTTATATCAGGAAAAATGTAAGCCAGAATTGTTATGAAAGGTTTTTGAAGTTCAACTCAGAGATTGTAGAGTTCTCGTCTAACAGCTCCTAGGAGAATTGCAAGATTCTCTCTAAGGTCTGTCGACCATTGATTAAAGGAAGAAACCTCCTTCTAGAACCATTCATACAAAACACCGATTCCCCTAATTCAAAAAGACGCATAACTAGAATCCAAATTTGGGACCGATAACAAATTGGTATCAGAGCTCACAGTTATGGGCGATCTTGTTCAAGACCAGCTTACCAACTCTTTCATTTAACTCTTATCTGAGAGCAGGCCAATTCAGACCCTATAATGAGAAGGTTGAACAACCATTCATGCCAAATTGGATGCCCATGTCTTTTGACTTGGAATCGCATAAAAGAAGGGCACTCCACAAGAGTCAAGCTACCAAAAGCAAAGGGGTCAAATAGTTTCAGCCTGTCTAAGATCTCCTAGGGGCGACTACAACTGTTTTCGAATTCACAGAGTTGGAGGTTCTTGGACCACCTATGGAGGATGGTAATAATTTCACGGAAAGTTGGCAAGAATTGGAACAAACCCTAAAACTGCCCGCAGAGCGAATAGTTTTCCAGCAAATGTTTCAAGTCTCAATAGTTGTGTGTACAGAAGATAGAGCGGAGCAAAAGAAAGAAATAATCAAACATCAATTGTTAGCACAATTAGAGGGTCTTGCTTGTGATTTGACAGCCTCTAAATGGGAAGGGCGTGGGAAGAAGCAATTCGAGAATGACATAGAGGAAACATTAGAAGAGATATTTGATCCAGGAATATTAATTAAATATAGAAGCACAATAAACAGCTCCTTATTTGCAGAATAATAGAGGGTGATAAGGATTTTGTTTGCATCGCATTTTCACAAGTTGAAGATTGCATGTCATCCATCCTTTGCGCTTGAGGACAAGCACTTTTTCAAGGGGTGTAATGTTATGGCGCTGCTTGACTTAGGGTAGTTTTACTGCTATTTAGGGTGTTTTTATTTAGTTATTCAGTGTTTATCATGTTATTATCAGTATTTTTCAAGTTTCTTTGTTAGTGCTATTAGTGGGGTGGTTAACTATTGTAAGGGTAAGTGTATTAGTGGTAGGTTTTAAGCTTTACATTTAGTTGTTTAAAAAGGCAATGTTATAATCAGGAAAATGTTTAAGTCTGTCACCATTGATAGAAGGAAGAAAACTCCTTTTAAGACACCCATCAACCTGATCCCCCTAATTCAAAGACCCATAACTAGATCCAAATTTGGGACCATAACAAATTGGCAGATTCTCTCTAAGTCTGTCACCATTGATAGAAGGAAGAAAACTCCTTCTAAGATACCCATCAAACCCGATTCCCCTAATTCAAAGACCCATAACTAGATCCTAATTTGGGACCATAACAAGGTGCTAGAGCAGAATATTTTTCTATGTAGTTTTAGCTTTACTGATTTGATGTTAGGGCATCGCTGAACCAAGCAAATCGTTTATAATTAGCTCAAATTTATCATACCCATTATGATTGATTTGTGGACTTTCAGCTTAAAATAAATTTTAAATGTTGCATTGACTTATGAATGGATTACGATAACTTCTCTATGCCACTGAAGTTCGAGCTATCTTTGTTCTTTGAATTCTACAACTCCCACCGCTTCTTATCTTCCCTGTCCTCCCTCTCCAACCCCCCCCCCCTTCCATACCCCCCCCCCCCCCCACTCTCCTCATTGCATTTGTTGGATATCATTTTTGATATGATTACAATTTCAATTTTATTTCAGATCGGTTTGGATGGAATCCGGGGTAGGGCACCCCCCCCCCCCCACTCTCTCTTGCATTTGTTGGATATATTTTTGATATGATTACATTTCAATTTTATTTCAGATCGGTTTGGATGGAATCCGTATGCTCGATCCCAGTACCAACCGAACTTTGAGAATATATCCTCTTGAGAACATAACGAGATGCGAAGTGAGTGGTTTCCCTTCCCCCTTCCTTCTCATTCTCTTCTTGTTTGAATTTTGAAATGTAAGGGCATAATATTGAGCTGTACTGTTTTCTAATGTAGGTAACCGATTCATCTACCCTTGCATTCTGGTCCAAGAGCTCTGTGGATATTGAACCAAGACGTATTAGATTGCAATCAAATAGTTACACTACAAACACTCTTCTTGACATTGTGACAGCAGCAACTGTGCAGGTGAGCTCATAGGGAAAGTATTTATTCATGATGTTACCCAATTTTACGTGACAACTAGCTGTTGTCTTTTAGATACTTGCAATTATAATCATAATTATAACCTGGCTTCAATAGCAAAATTCAGGGATTAGAGTAATTTCAGACAAGACATGCAATAAGGACATATAATTGTTGAAATTTTAATATTTAGAAACTAAATTTTTAATAATAGAACTGATAGTCTGGTTAAACATGTAGGCCTTCTGTTCCGTGTATGTCTAAGTATTGAATTATGGAATTTTGATTTGTTTTTGTGCGGCAATCACAGATAATGGATAAATAACCGTTGAATTGTCAAGACTTTGGTGATGGCTTTCCCAGTTGCTGTCTCATATTGATGATAGTTAATATGCCATTGGCATGTCTTGATATTTTCAATGCTTAAGATCATGTGGCAGGCTAGTTTTTATTATTTTGTTTTAAATGTTATTTCTGAGTTTTGGAGGCAATGCGTTGGCTGTTTCACTGTGTGATAGAGGTAAAACTCAAGTCCCCTATAAGTTGAAGAAGGCTTTCTTTCGCTGTGTTCAAGGTGGTTCTGAAACTGGAGAGAGGGGACTTACATTTAAGATTGTGAAGATCATGTTCCTCCGAATTAGATTTAAATTATTAAAAAATGAAAATTGAAGCCTCTGCCTGCTCATCCCTGGTTGGCAAGGGGAGAGTGGACATTGATTACCTTCTCTGAAAAGACCAGTCTGTTCTTCGAGATTGGCAAGCATGCTTGTTGATGCTCTAATCTTCATAACTCTTTTATGAGGTTACAATTGAGGGAACTTAATATTACATTTAGTATGCTCTAATTTTCCTATGTTTCATACTTCCAAATTTCCAATAGTTAATTTATATGCAGGGCCAGGGACTTTGTATTTGATTTTGGTTGTTGATATGCAATAATTAAGCGTCAATTTTTTCCCTTCCTTAAAATGCAGCTCAAGGAGATGGGAGGAAGCAGGAGGCCTCCTGAATCTTCTAGGACACTTGAGCAGGCCGCAGAGAAGAAGAAAGGGCTTGCTGATTGGATGAACTTGATAAAGCCAGGCAATGAGGAAAAAGATCATTGGGTAAAAATAGATCTCCGAGATATCGATTTTTTTAAAAATCATTTTCATAAAGGAATAGCATGGGTGGTGGTTATTGTTAATTGTTTCTCCATGCATCATATTCAGTTTTCCCTGCTTGTATATTAAGGTCTTTTTTCTTTCTGTTTTTATCTGTGAAATTTTATTAGTGTTGCTTGCGTTGCTGTTATTTTATTTTCAGGTCCCTGATGAAGCCGTTTCAAAGTGTACAGCATGTGGGACAGATTTTGGGGCTTTTGTGCGCAGGGTAATCTATTATGGTGGTTGATCGATGGCATTCAATGTTTAAGCATGCTTTTTGTGGTGAATCTAATGTCTTTTCTCTTTCTATTGTGTGTCAGCATCACTGCAGAAATTGTGGGGACATTTTCTGTGACAAGTGTACCCATGGGAGGATTGCTCTTACTGCAGATGAGAATGCTCAGCCTGTTAGAGTTTGTGACCGATGCATGGTATGTGCTGAAGATTTATATATCTACCTTTTTGGCATTGTTGCATATTCACATGCATTCCTGAATGTTATAAATTGTGTTTGTGAACTTTAGCTTCAAGAAATATTGATGCCTCCTTGAGGAACATCTGCTGTGTCAAGGAATGAACAGTTTCCTCCTATTGTTTGTAGTTTTCTAGTTTCTGAAAATGTCTTACATCAAATCCTGGCAGTGTGTTTTCAGAGGTTTACTCTGTATACCATGGGTTTATTTTGTTGGCTTTTTAACTTAGGAGGAAATATTTGGAGAAGAATGTTTTTGTTGGAGGGTGGGGCACTGGAATTTATGGAAGCAAATTTTATATTGAATATAGTCATGGCCATGCAATTGTCTAAGTTTTTATGTGAAAATCATAGTTCTCACTTAATAACTTCTTTATTGTTTCTATCGTTCAGGCAGAAGTGACTCAGAGGCTAACTAATGCAAAAGAGGCAGCTAGTAAACCTGTAGGACTGCATTCTCATGAGGATCTTGCGAGAAAGCTTCAGGTAAACAATATATTATTTTAGGCATCTTGCTGTCCTCGCAAGGTTGGGCCCTAAGTAAGTTATGTAGATTGTTTAACTTGAATTTTTGGTTTTGATTTTTCCAATGGTATTTTTGTGATAGGAGGAAATGGAGAAAAATCGCAAGGCATCATCAGGTAATCTTGTTCTTTGAAGTCCATTTTTCATTTTCTGTGTATAGAGAATCAATGTTTAGTTCTGTTTTACAGTTTAGCTGAACTTAGAATGATGGAAGAGCAAGATTCCCATGTTAACCACATTGTGAAGTGTTTAATTCTCAAGTCCATTGGTGCTGTTAGGATAAAGTTTTTGCCTGTTGTTCCCAAATTTATGTAAGGTAATCTGTATCACTGCTTCTCATACTAAGAGTCCACTTTTTCAGGATCCAAGTCGGACGGATCTGGAAGACGGATGAAAGAAGTTGCATGTCCTACTTGCACTGTCCATTTGCAGGTTTGAACTGATTTTCCACCATGTTATAGGGGTTCTTAATCTCCCACGCATTTTTGTTTATTCATAGTGGTCACTCACTGATAATGCAGGTCCAGGTCCCCAGCTCGGGTTCCGAAACGATCGAGTGTGGCGTGTGTCAACACCCATTTCTTGTCAGTGCTCATTGACTTTGCATCTTGTTTTGCGGCAAATGATTGCGCCTACTCCAAAGTACATGAAAAACGAAATGCTATCCCAATATAGAGGACAAAGTGCCACCGGACCTGAGTTTAGAAGACCTGAGTGTGTGAGATTATGTTGGGTGAAACAGGCGCCAGAGTTGTATATGGGTTTAATTATTTGCTCATTTTCATTCACAATATGCTGCGGAAAAAATGTTGCTTGGGATTTTCTGTGGGTTTGTAATTTGGCTATGCATGTTTATATAATCAAATAAAAAGATTTATCCATCCTTTTACAATCATGAAACGGAACATGTGATTTTATCCATTCTTTTAAACTTATTATACTGCTATTTTACCTGCACTCCAGTATAAATTTTATCAATCGCTTGGCCCAGCTCTTTTCCAAACACTGAATTTGAAAGCAAAGAATTCACAAGTTAGTATCAGAGTGAGACTGGTTAAATCAAATTCCCTTCCAACTCGGCTAAACTTTGAGTTGATATATTTTTAAGTGTAATCATAAAATAATCAATCATGCAAAAGAGTTATTTAATGAACTCCGGCCAACTAGAAAATTGTCGGATGTATTTAATGCATATATAGTTGATTATTGTTTTATGACACATTAGTCATCTTCATCCTTGATAACTATACCAACAACAAGGTTCCAGATTCTACTGATTGATTGCTATTGCACTAGATTTAATTGCTTCTACTTAATTATTGGTCTGTTCGTCTCATGTAGACCTTTTTCAAATTAAGTTAGAACTTAATTATAATCCAACGAAATCTTAACAAATATAATTCCATTAGTTTATCAGCTGTACGATTTAATCAGAATTCAGTGAATGTTATTTCAAAGAGAGGATTACTCCTGTTGTCTAATCCATAATATTATTTTAGTCCATTTTGCCTCAAATAAATAAAAAGAAAATAATTAAAGATATGAAATCTGGAGATTTGAATCACCACTGTTAAAAAGATTTTATTTAAATACTATTCGGGGGCATAAAACTACATTTTAAAAAAAAAAAAGTCCATACATTATAGGAACTTCTTTGCAAACATGATTGCCTAAGAAAAAAAGAGGTAACTGAGATAAGAAGTACATGTACACCCTCCAATTACGGGACAACTCTTTGATCTGCCGAACCCGAACCATGCCAGTAACTGCATTACTACGTACCACTGGAGTCTTTGGTAGCTAAGTGTAGAATAGCTAACTTCATTTCCTAAAACAAGAATACAGTAAATATTCCTTAATTATAGCTAACTTCTTCGCTCTCTTTTCCTTTTTCCTTTAAGATAAAATGTTGAAAAATTGGAGATACTAATAAAAAGATGACAAAGTAGTTTTAGCAATAAGATTATTGTTTTTGCGAACAGGTTGTTCACCTACCTAGTGGCCTTTCCACTTACATATATTAACCTGCGATTTAAGCTTCCAGAAATAAGTACAAATGGCTCTTCGATTGCTTTAATCTATGAACTTGAGAAAAAGAAACGTGCAATGGAGGGTAGTCCACCAACTTAATCGCTACACAGTAAAACTTTTTAGCTTCAAACACGAGAGAGAAACTCTTTTCCACCAACCTAATTTACTTATAATAAGACAAATTTTCCATTTTTCAAAAGTTTCTTTAGTCTTTGGCACTTGTCTTCTTCTCCAGCTACAACACAGTATATCAATCTGTCTGTCCGTAGAAATTTTTCTACGTATTTTTTGGACTGGCTCATTATAGTTTTGACTTTCTTTCTTTTATACTACGAGTTAATTAATGTTATTTTCTATGTAGATTTTCTTGCATTAAGTATGG